CTATAAGCTGAGGCACAGGATTGATTCTTCTCTCCCTTTTCTACTTTAGGATTAGGCTGAAGGAAGGCTGAACAGTGTTTGCGGGAGATGACTCTCCTGCCCTCACCAGGGCTCAAAAGGGAAACAATTGTATATTACAGGACAGGGTGGACTTTTGATCCCAGAAGGAGAGAAGGGCCTTCATGAAACAGAGAAACATTACCTTGGCTGGGAGTGAAGAGGCCAGAGCCCCAAGGGGAACACACCTCAAAAACGCCTCCCCAGCCCGTGCTCTGATTCAGGCAACATTCCCAAAGGTGGTTCCCTTCAGCTTCCAGAATCTCCTCCATCTAGTCCAGTGGATCCCTGGACTCCCTCACCTACCATGTGGCTGTCATAAAAATAAACCAAATCCAAATGAAACCTCTTTGTCATCATGATAACTTCAGGCTCTGAGGAAATGCCTTCAGAGGTCCCAATCCTTTTCTTAAGAGTGTCCTTATTCAGAGTCTTCCATGCCCTCAACTGAGGCTGGAGCCCTTGGCATATATATTTATGTGTGTAAGAGAGAGAGACTTTGAGTCCCCTCTTGACATGGATTTCCCAGGATTTTCTTGGGCAAGGACTCCTGAGAGAGGGTTTGGGCAGTTCCTCCCTATGAATCAGAGCACACAGCACAGGGGATTCCTTGATGGCCCTCCATCCAAGTATTAACCCCACTGAATTTTGTTGAGCTTACTTTTGAGTAAACATTTCAAGGCTGAGCTATCAAATGATTTTATAATATTTTCCCTTGCCTTCTATGGAAAAGGGCCACAAAAAAAGGGTCCAGGAGAGATGCCACGGTTCTTTCAGAAAGCAGATCCTGGAATTTTCCTCCTAAGGACAGAAAGGCTTTCTTCCAGCATGAACTTCCATCTGCTCCTCTCCCCTATCTGCTGCAGGCCAAGGTGAACCTCTTCCTGTAGGAATCTGTTATTTTCTAAGGACAATCCTTAGACAACTCCCTGCTGCCTCTCTTTGCACCCAGTGGCAAGGAGTTCCACAAGTTCACTGCATGAACAGTATTTCTGACTTGTCTCAATGGATAGTGTCATTCTCTACTACGGTTCGCCATGTAGTTCACCTTCCAATTCATTTTTTTAAATTTTTATACTTTCCTACTTCCTGAAATCTCAGTGCCTAGAACAGTCCTTATCTGGAACCCTATTTCATCCTTCCTCACAACATTTTAAATTCTTTATTCCTAAATTTTACTGTGAGCTTTTAAAATTCAGGATTCGGTGTCCCTAACTACTGGCATACAGCATTAAAAGCATTACAATACAATTCAAAATATAGAAATATTTTTAAAAGAGGGTTGTTGTGTGTTTTCTAGGCTGTGTGGCCATGTTCCAGAAGCATTCTCGACTAAAATGATCAAGGGTCTGGAGAACAAGCCTCATGAGGAGCGGCTTAAGGAGCTGGGCATGTTTAGCCTGAAGAAGAGAAGGCTGAGAGGAGATATGATAGTCATGTATAAATATGTGAGAGGAAGCCACAGGGAGGAGGGAGCAAGCTTGTTTTCTGCTTCCTTGGAGACTAGGATGCGGAACAATGGCTTCAAACTACAAGAGAGGAGATTCCATCTGAACAGAGGCTGGATGGCCATCTGTCAGGGGTGCTTTGAATGCAATATTCCTGCTTCTTGGCAGGGGGTTGGACTGGATGGCCCATGAGGTCTCTTCCAACTCTGATTCTATGATGTCCTGGCAGGGCCTGGGGCAATCTTTTGTTGAGAGGTGGAAAACACACAACAACCCTGATTCCAGCCATGAAAGCCTTTGACAATACATTAAGGAAAGCATTAAACGTCATTAGTATTAAAAACAATTCAGATTAAATCCATCAAAACATTTTTTAACCACCGCAGCCCCTGGTATGATTTTAAAAATCTTCTTTAAAAGCCTGAGATAAAGAAGATTGAAAAGAAACAATCTGATAAGAGCAACTGAGAGGAAGATCTGAAACTAATTGACAATATAATTCCTCCCTTTGCTAAGTAAAAAGCTAAAGGATTCCCCTTGACGTTAAGTCTGGTTGAGTCCAACTCTGGGGGTTGGTGATCATCTCCATTTTTAAGCCAAAGAGCTGGCATTGTCTGTAGACACCTCCAAGGTCATGTGGCCAGCATGACTGCATGGAGTGCTGTTACCTTCCCGCAGAAGCAGTACCTATTGATCTACTCACATTTGCATGTTTTCGAACAGCTAAGGTTTTCCCCTGACATTAAGTCCAGTTGTGTCCGACTCTGGGGTGTGGTGCTCATATCCATTTCTAAGCCAAAGAGCTGGCATTGTCCGTAGACACCTCCAAGGTCATGTGGCCAGCATGACAGCATGGAGTGCTGTTACCTTCCCGCCAGAGCAGTACCATGTGAAGGTGTTTCAGAACTAGAGTGCAACACCTGGAGGTATTGTTTCCTTAGGTAAAGGTTTTCCCCGAACATTAAGTCTAGTCGTGTCCCACTCCGGGGGGTGGTGCTCATCTCCATTTCTAAGCCAAAGAGACGGCGTTGTCCATAGACACCTCCAAGTCATGTGGCCAGCATGACTGTATGGAGTGTCATTATCTTCCCAACTACTGATCTACTCCAATTTGCATGTTTTCGAACTGCTAGGTTAGCAGAAGCTGGGACTGACAGTGGGAACTCATCCTGCTCCCCGGATTTGAACTGGTCACCTTTCGGTCAGCAAGTTTAGCAGCTCAGTGGTTTAACCCACTGAGCCACTGGGGGGTCCCCTCTCTTTGCTACAAAGGATACAATGACCAGTATTGTCAAAGGCTTTCATGGCTGGAATCACTGAGTTGTTGTAGTTTTTCGGGCTATATGGTCATGTTCCAGAAGCATTCTAGAACATTCCAGAGGCCATCTAGCCTGAAAAACCTACAACAAGCCAATATCATGAACTTTTAATAATGGCAAGTGTAATGGAAAAGAAACATGAGAGGTAAGAATCACAACTATGCACATTGCCTTTCCTCCTGCCTCCCCACCCCCTTTCATTATATACATTTCATATATATATATATATATATATATACACATATATATTTAAAACCTGCCCATATAGAAAGGTTTTCTTAACCTCATCCACCTCTGCTTTCCACTCCCCCTTTCTGAGAGGAAGAGTTCTGGGGGTGAGGAGAGCAGGTGCCCCGTCTCTTCCCTCCGCTCACCTCCGCTCTGGTTGTAGTACATAGCCAGGGTGCCCAGGCCCTCTTGGAGGACTTCCTCAGCATTCTGCGCAATCTGGTTGTTCCACTCCCAGTACGTAGAGTCGTTCTCCTCCACCTTCCTTATCCAGGGGACTGTAGGAACAAGCCTCTTGGCTTTGGCATCATAGGAAACATACTCCTGCTCATCCACGTAGCCCACAATGAAAAACTGTGGCACCTGCTGCCCAGGCTCAGAGACAGAAGTGAAGAAATAGTGCAGGGAGTGGAATGAGGAGCCTGGAAAAGAGGGAGAAAGGAGACATTATTCCAGTGCCCAAAAGGATGCATTTTGTGCCTCAAGGAAACAGAACATGGACAAAAGGGAATGGCATCTCGGCCTACGAGCCCTCCAGGACTTTGAGATCGTCCGGGGAGGCCCTGCTCTCGATCCCGCCTGCCTCACAGGCACGCTGGCGGGGACGAGAGACAGGGCCTTCTCGGTGGTGGCTCCTCGGCTGTGGAACACCCTTCCCGTGGACATCAGACTGGCTCCTTCCCTGATGATATTCCGTAGGAAATTAAAGACTTGGCTGTTCAAGAAGGCGTTCGAACAAGAAGTGCAATAATTGGTAATGACGACAGGAATGGAACAACGGAAAATGATACCGGATTGTGGTTTAAACGATGAGATGTCGAGAATGGCTTTTTGTATTATTGATATTATTGATGTTTTGATGATGATGCTTTGGTTATTGCTACACTGATATTTTAGATTGTGTCTTGAATTGTGAACCTTGTCCTTTCTATGTTGTACACCGCTGTGAGTCGCCCTCGGGCTGAGAACAGCGGTTTATAAGCAAAGTAAATAAAACAAATAATATATATAAACATCAAAAAAACCAAGATTATGGCAACAAGAATGATTGACAACTGGAAAATAGAGGGAGAAAATGTGGAGGCTGTGACAGACTTTGTATTTCTAGGTGCAAAGATTACTGCAGATGCAGACTGTAGCCAGGAAATCAGAAGACGCTCACTTCTTGGGAGGAGAGCAATGTCCAGTCTCGATAAAATAGTAAAGAGTAGAGACATCACACTGGCAACAAAGATCCATTGCCTAGTCAAAGCCATGGTATTCCCTGTAGTCACCTACGGATGTGAGAGCTGGACCTTAGGGAAGGCTGAGCGAAGGAAGAGAGATGCTTTTGAGCTGTGGTGTTGGAGGAAAGTTCTGAGAGTGCCTTGGACTGCGAGAAGATCCAACCAGTCCATCCTCCAGGAAATAAAGCCCGACTGCTCATTGGAGGGAAGGATACTAGAGACAAAGATGAAGTACTTTGGCCACATCATGAGGAGACAGGAAAGCCTAGAGAATGCAATTAGTAATAAACAAGGAAAGGAAGAGGGGCCGACCAAGGGCAAGATGGATGGATGGCATCCTTGAAGTGACTGGACTTGAGGGAGCTGGGAGTCATTGGGAGGAGAGAGCAAGCTTGTTTTCTGCTGACCTGGAGACTAGGACACTGAACAATGGCTTCAAACTACAGGAAAGGAGATTCCATCTGAACATGAGGAAGAACTTCCTGACTGTGAGAGCTGTTCAGCAGTGGAACTCTCTGCCCTGGAGTGTGGTGGAGGCTCCTTCTTTGGAGGCTTTTAAACAGAGGCTGGATGGCCATCTGTCAGGGGTGCTTTGAATGGATTTTCCTGCTTCTTGGCAGAAGGGTTGGGCAGGATGGGAGGTCTCTTCCACCTCTAGGATTTTATGATTCTATGACTGGGTGGCCCTTGAGGTCTCTCAGACTCTAGGAGTGTATGAAGAAGCAGCAGCAGAGGGAGAAGAAGACACCCCCCCCCCCAATCTCCTACTCACCGGTGGAACCCCCCAGCAGGAGGGCAGCCACTCCAAAAAGGAAGAAGAAGGGGGCCCGCTGGGACAGACCCATGTCTCCCCCCCCCTTCTTTAGGCCAAACTTCGGAGGGAAGAAAAAACACTCCTGCCTCTCTGCTGTCCAGGCGCAAACTGACATGAAGGGGTCACTCCACTCCGAAATACAGAGCCAGGATTGGCTGAAAGCGGAGTCGTCGGCCAATAGGAAAACGAGGATCGCGTGTCGTCACCTGGTGCTGGGGAGAAGTCCGGCAGAAGTCCGGCAGCAGTAATGAATAAATTAAAAGTGCTGGACTTACTGTGGACACTGTGAATGTTGCTCCCAATCCTTGAAGATTCAACAATTCACACACCCAGCCATGAAGATTACTATACCCTTAAATGATTTTACTGGAAAGGGAAAGCGAAACTTTCCTGGGGGGTCTGAAGCACTTTCGGGAATCCCCTCTGGTGGCGGGGAACTCCCCTGTGCCTTTGTATTTCCGGAAAGGCCACACTTAGCAAGAAGGCACATAGAAGACGGTTTTGAAAGGTTTTGAGCTGTCTTCATAGACCTGTCAGCAGCCTATGATACTGTGAACCACCACTGCCTCCTCCTGAGAAAAAATGTATAATCTCACAAAGGACGATCACCTCGCCCGCCTCATAGGAAACCTGCTACAAAACAGGAGCTTCTTTGTTGAGTTCCAGGGCCAGAGAAGCAGATGGCGGAAACAGAAGAACGGCCTGCCTCAGGGGAGCGTGCTTGCTCCATCCATGTTCAACATCTACACAAATGACCAGCCACTGCCAGAAGGGACAGAGAGTTTCATCTATGCTGATGATCGTGCCATTACTGCTCAAGCAGGGAGCTTTGAGATGGTTGAACAGAAGCTCTCCGAAGCTCTAGGTGCTCTTACTGCCTATTACAGGGGAAACCAGCTGATCCCTAATCCATCTAAAACACAGACATGTGCCTTTCATCTCAAGAACAGACAAGCATCCCAAGCTCTGAGGATCACCTGGGAAGGAATCCCACTGGAGCATTGCAGCGCACCCAAATACCTGGGAGTCACTCTGGACCGTGCTCTGACCTACAAGAAGCACTGCCTGAATATCAAGCAAAAAGTGGGTGCTAGAAACAATATCATACGAAAGCTGACTGGCACAACCTGGGGATCACAACCAGACACAGTGAAGACATCTGTCCTTGCACTATGCTACTCTGCTGCTGAGTACGCATGCCAGTGTGGAACACATCTCACCACACTAAAACAGTGGATGTGGCTCTTAATGAGGGTGTCTGCGCCATACACCACTGGAGAAATTACACTGCTTAGCCGGTATTGTACCACCTGACATCCACCGGGAAGTGGCAGCCAATAGTGAAAGGACCAAGGCAGAGACATCTCCAGCTCATCCCCGTTTGGGTATCAGCCAGCACGTCAACGACTTAAATCAAGAAATAGTTTTCTAAGATCTACAGAGACACTGCTGGAACACCTCAGCAAGCGAGAGTCCAAAAGTGGCAGGCTCAAACCCAGAACCTCAATCAACGGCTGAATACCAAATGAGAGACTCCCCACTGGGCACACAGAAGTCTGGGCGACTTGGAAGGCGCTGAACAGACTGCGCTCTGGCACCACGAGATGCAGAGCCAACCTCAAGAAATGGGGCCACAAAGTGGAATCCATGACATGCGAGTGCGGAGAAGAGCAAACCACTGACCACCTGCTGCAATGCAACCTGAGCCCTGCCACATGCACAATGGAGGACCTCCTTGGGCAACACCAGAGACTCCAAGTGGCCAGATACTGGTCAAAGGACATTTAATCAACTACCAAGCTTCCAAACTTTGTGTTTTGTTTGTTTCTTTCTTTAAAAATGCAATGCAACTGTCTGGTCTGCCCCTGACAAGATCAATAAAACCAAGAAGGCCCTGATCTCCCGCCTTGAAGGGAGAATGGCCTCCTTGGGATCTCCAGCAGTCCAGGCCTCTCTCTCCCAAACTGGGCAGCCAGTGAGGCCCACCCCAGACCCTTTAAATCAGTGGTCCTCAACCTGTGGGTCCCCAGGTGTTTTGGCCTTCAACTCCCAGGATTCATAGAATCATGGGGTTGGAAGAGACCTTGTGGGCCATCCAGTCCAACCCCCTGCCAAGAAGCAGGAAAATTGCATTCAGAGCACCCCCGACAGATGGCCATCCAGCCTCTGTTTAAAAGCCTCCAAAGAAGGAGCCTCCACCATACTCTGGGGCAGAGAGTTCCACTGCTGAACAGCTCTCACAGTCAGGAAGTTCTTCCTCATGTTCAGATGGAATCTCCTTTCCTTTGGTTTGATTCTGGGGAACCACAGGTTGAAAACCACTGCTTTATAGAGAAGGGAAAACAGTCCTTCTAAACTCCTTCATGGATGACGGTCATCACCACAATGTGGTTATGAGATCCTCCTCCTGCCTTTCTCCCCGCAATGGGACTCAAGGCAGGTAGTGATGCTCTGTTGAAAGTAGTCCACCTTCTCAAGCCTCCTCTGTTTCATGATTTGTCTGTATAGAATATGCTGTTTGATTACTGAAGTATGTTTGTGTTCTTTGGTATTCAGTTTTTCCTAACATGTGTTCTGGAAGCAGTGGGAGGAGCTGCAGACCATGTGACCAGATCAGGGACTGTTTAGAACACAGTTTAAAAGATGGAAGTTGAGGGGTGACCATTGAAAAACACAGTTGGAAGTAATATAATAATAATAATAATAATAATAATAATAATAATAATAATAAGTAAAGGTTTTCCCCTGACATTAAGGGGTTGATGCTCATCTCCATTTCTAAGTCGAAGAGCCGGCATTATCCATAGACACCTCCAAGATCACGTGGTTGGCATTACTGCATGGAGCACCGTTACCTTCCCACCGGAGTGGTACCTATTGATCTACTATTTGCATGTTTTCGAACTGCTAGGTTGGCAGAATTCTCTTTGATTGTTGGTGAACTTTAAATCCCAGCAACTACAACTCCCAAATGTCAAGGTCTATTTTACACAAACTCGGCCAGTATTCACATTTGGGCATATTGAGTATCCCTGCCATGTTTGATCCAGATCCATCATTGTTTGAGTCCACAGTGCTCTCTGGATGTTGGTGAACTCAAGGTCGATGCCCACCAAACCCTTCCAGTATTTTCTGTTGTTAATGGGAGTTCTGTGTGCCAAGCTTGGTTCAATTCAGGCATAGAGAAGAGATGTAGTAGTCATGGGCGATTTCAACTATCCCGATATTTGCTGGAAAACAAACTCAGCCAAGAGTACAAGGTCCAACAAATTCCTCGCTTGCCTTGCAGACAATTTCATGGTCCAGAAGGTAGAAGAGGCAACAAGGGGGTTGGCTACTCTTGATCTCATCCTAACAAATGCAGAGGACCTGATCGATGTGGTTGAAGTGATATTTATTATTTATTTATTTGCTTTATTTCTATACCACATATTTCAGCCCAGACAGGCGACTCAATGCGGTTTACATGGTACAAATTATCAACAGTGTCAGTGCAATTAAAACGCAACAAGTGCGACAAACAGGATCAACAACATCAATCCACAACAGTTAACAAAACAGAACAGGACAGTCAACACACACAACATAACGCCTCAGTTAAATCAGATCCGTTCTCATAATCCTTGTGCCATTCCTATGTTCCATTTACCGTCTTCTGAGTTCAGTTGCCTTGTTGACCAAACGCCTGTTCATAGAGCCAGTCTTGACCATTGGCTACTCTTGATCTCATCCTAACAAATGTGGAGGACCTGATCGATGTGGCTGAAGTGGTAGGATCCTTAGGGGCAAGTGACCATGTGCTCCTGCAATTTGAGGTACAAAGGAAGGCCGAAACTAAGACAAGTCAAACCCGCATTTTGGACTTTAGGAGAGCTGATTTCCAAAAAATGAAGGAAACATTGAGCAGCATTCCGTGGACACAGATACTAAAAGACAAGGGAGTTACGGATGGATGGGAATTTCTCAAGAGTGAAATACTCAAGGCGCAGTTGCAAACTGTGCCAACAAAGAGAAAAAATAGGACAAGTGCAAAGAAGCCAGAATGGATGTCCAAAGAACTTCTAACTGTGCTAAGACACAAAAGAGACATGCACAAGAGTGGAAAAAGGGAGAAATCACCAAAGAAGAATTCAAACAAATAGCCAACACCTGTAGGGAAAAGGTCCGCAAGGCTAAAGCACAAAACGAGCTCAGGCTTGCCAGGGACATTAAAAACAATAAAAAGGGATTCTTTTCTTATGTCAGTAGAAAAAGGAAAAACAAGGAGAAGATGGGGCAATGCTGACAGGGGATAGGGAAAAGGCAGAACTACTTAATGCCTTCCTTGCCTTGGTCTTCTCACAAAAAGAAAGCCATCTTCAACCTCAGCTAGATAGAATGGATGAGGGATTAGAGGACATCCAACCCCAAATTGGGAAACAAGTCGTCCAGGAATACCTGGCCACTCTAAATGAGTTCAAGTCCCCAGGGCCAGATCAACTACACCCAAGAGTATTGAAGGAACTAGCGGAAGTCATTTCGGAACCATTGGCAATCATCTTTGAGAGTTCTTGGAGAACGGGAGAAGTTCCAGCAGATTGGAGGAGGGCCAATGTGGTCCCAATCTTCAAGAAGGGAAAAAAGGATGACCGAAACAACTACTGTCCGGTCAGCCTCACGTCGATACCAGGCAAGATTCTGGAAAAGATTGTCAAAGAAGTGGTCTGCAAACACTTAGAAACAAATGCGGTCATCACTAATAGTCAACATGGATTTATCAAAAACAAGTCATGCCAGACTAATCTGATCTCTTTTTTCGATAGAGTTACAAGCTTGTAAAACTACAACTCCCACTCTAGATTAATATATTTGCCCCCAAGGAATTGGGAAACTGATGCTTCTGTTCGATGTTTTGTCTTATTATCACAAAAATATCATTGCAGATTTGATAAATGTGATTTTAATATGATGTGTGGGAATGAATGGACGGATTTTATTTATTTATTTATTTATTTACAGTTTTTATATTCCACCCTTCTCACCCTGCAGGGGACTCAGGGCGGATTACAGTGTACATATATATGGCAAACATTCAATGCCAATTTTTGACATACAAACATATACAGACATACACAGAGGCTATTTAACTTTTTCTGGCCGCCAGGGGAGTTGTCGCTTTCATCGTCCATCTGCAACGCTGATGAAGCACTTCCGCATTCCTCACATGCTTCTCCGCTGGAATGTTTTGCTGGCGTCTTCTTTATGGCCTCATAAATTAGTTAATTTAGCCTCCCCACACTTTAAGGTGGTACCTTATTTTCCTACTTGACAGATGCAACTGTCTTTCGGGTTGCAAAGGTCACCAACAGGCTACACACAATTGGTTGGAAACCCACTCCAACCCGGGCTGGCTTCAAACTCATGACCTTTTGGTCAGAGTGATCTTAATGCAGCTGACACTCAGCCAGCTGTGCCACAATCCCGGTGCAATAAACAGTGCAATAAGGCTTGATAATAATTTTGGAAACACCAGTAGAAGACTAAGGCCTGCAATGACTAACTATCTGCTTGCTGGATTGTAATTAAAAGTTGCTAATAAGAACTGAAAAGTAAACTGATAAGAACTGTGACAATGGTTCTTTCAAACTAAGAAAAAATGTTTACAACATTCCTTATGTTAAGAAGGAAGTCAACACAAGGCTCACACAAATCAAGAACTCTGACCATTTATTTAACCCAAAGCACAATGAGATTGTTCCTTATACAGGTTCTTTCCATATTCTAGGCACGTAGTTATCAAAACACATGACACATTTAAAAGTTCACTCTTCTATGCAGGTTACAGGTTGAGTATCCATTATCCCAAATTTATGGTACCAGAAGCATTGTATTTTGGAATACTTCTATTTGCATACATATACATGAGACAATGTGGAGATGGGACTCAAGTCTCAACATGTAATTCATTTGTGTTTCGTATACACCAAATATACCTAGCCAAATACACTGTCTAGCCGGTATTGCACTACCTGACATCCTCCAGGAAGTAGCAGCCAATAGTGAAAGGACCAAGGCAGAGACATCTCCAGCTCATCCCCAGTTGCCAGCACGTCAACGACTTAAATCAAGAAATAGTTTTCTAAGATCTACAGAGACACTCGCTGGAACACCTCAGCAAGCGAGAGTCCAAAAGTGGCAGGCTCAAACCCAGAACCTCAATCAATTGCTGATACCAAATGAGAGACTCCCCCCTGGGCACACAGAAAACTGGGCGACTTGGAAATGCGCTGAACAGACTGCGCTCTGGCGCCACGAAATGCAGAGCCAATCTGAAGAAATGGGGCCACAAAGTGGAATCCACGACATGCGAGTGTGGAGAAGAGCAAACCACTGACCACCTGCTGCAATGCAACCTGAGCCCTGCCACATGCACAATGGAGGACCTTCTTGCAGCAACACCAGAGGCACTCCAAGTGGCCAGATACTGGTCAAAGGACATCTAATCAACTACCAAACTTGCAAATTTTGTGTTTTGTCTGTTTGTTTGTTTGTTTTGTTCTGTTAGAAATGTAATACAATTGACTGGTTGCCCTGACACAACAAATAAACCTCAAAGGTAATATACACAATATTTTTAATATTTTAATAAACTTGTGTACTTTAAATTACCAGAAAGAAAAGCTGTCACTAATTCATCAACCCATGCAGACAATTTCAGAATATTTCAGATTTCATCATTCAGAATAAAGGATGCTCAACCTTTACTAGATGTGACAAAAGAGTTTAACTAATTGGCCACTATCACATACCATGCAAAGCCAGGGAACTATGAACAACTTGTATTGTCAAAGGCTTTCATGGCTGGAATCACTGGGTTGTTGTAGGTTTTACAGGTATCTCACAACCTCACAACCTCTGAGGATGCCTGCCATAGATGCAGGTGAAACGTCAGGAGAGAATGCTTCTAGAACATGGTCATACAGCCCAAAAAACCTACAACAACCCATGAACAACTTGGCTTATGGTATATGGACAGTGTCACACCGCATGCTACACAACTGCTACCACTTGTAGCTGATAGAATCATAGAGTTGGAAGAGATCTCATGGGCCATCCAACCCCCTGCTAAGAAGCAGGAAAATTGCATTCAAAGCACCCCTGACAGATGGCCATCCAGCCTCTGTTTAAAAGCTTCCAAAGAAGGAGCCTCCACCACACTCTGGGGCAAAGAGTTCCACTGCTGAACAGCTCTCACAGTCAGGAAGTTCTTCCTCATGTTCAGATGGAATCTCCTTTCTTGTAGTTTGAAGCCATTGTTCAGTGTCCTAGTCTCAAGGGCAGCAGAAAACAAGCTTGCTCCTAAACAAGCACCGAAACACCTAAACAAGCACCTGATACACCTAAACAAGCCATGGAACTTCATTCCATGGTTTACTTATTGCTTTGCTCTGCTGGCAGGAAAGTCCCATGCTGTCACCAAAACAATTCCCATATTCTAGAGATTTAAATGGTTTCTCCTCTGTACGGATTCTTTGATGGTGGATAAGACTCCTGTTTTGGCTGAAGCCCTTTCCACACTCTGGACATTTATAGGGTTTCTCCCCTGTGTGGATTCTTTTGTGCACAGCAAGGTTTGCGCTAAGTCTAAAGAGCTTTCCGCACTCCAGGCATTTAAAGGGTTTCTCCCCAGTGTGGACTCTCTGATGGAAGCTAAGGCTTCTGTTCTGCCTGAAGCCTTTTCCACACTCCAGGCATTTGAACAGTTTCTCCTCTGTGTGCACTCTTTGATGGTAGATGAGACTTCTGTTCTGGCTGAAGCTCTTTCCACATTCCAGGCATTTATAGGGTTTCTCCCCGGTGTGGATTCTTTTATGCACAGTGAGGTTCGCACTAAGTCTGAAGAGCTTTCCACATTCCAGGCATTTAAAGGGTTTCTCCCCAGTGTGGACTCTTTGATGGAAGCTAAGACTTCTGTTCTGTCTGAAGCCTTTCCCGCATTGTAGGCATTTGTAGGGTTTCTCCCCAGTGTGAGTTCTTTCGTGGCAAATAAGAGAGTCTCGCTTCATGAAGGACTTGCCACACTCTGGGCATTTGAATGGCTTCTCCCCGGTATGATGCCTTCGATGGATGGCCAGGTATTCATGTCTCAGAAAACTCTTCCCACATATTGGGCACTTGTATGGTTTCTCTCCGGTGTGGATTCTTTTATGTGACATGAGATGGGAATCCTGACTAAAATCCTTTCCACACTCCAAGCACTTGAAAGGTCTCTCCCCGGTGTGGATTCTCTGGTGGCGGACGAGACTCCTGTTTTGGCGGAAGCTCATGCCACACTCCGTGCACGGATAGGGCTTCTCTCCCGTGTGCACTCTCTGATGTATGACAAGTTGACCACTCTGACTGAAGCTCGTTCCGCACTCCGTACACGTAAAGGGTTTCTCCCCGGTGTGGGTTCTCTGGTGACGGGCAAGGCCGTTGCTCTGACCAAAGCACTTCCCACACGCCAAGCATTTGAACGGTTTCTCCCCAGTGTGCACCCTTTGATGATCAGTGAGGTGGTGGTGGCTGCGGAAGTTCATGCCGCATTCTGCGCATGTATATGGTTTCTCCCCGGAGTGCATTCGCTGATGGTAGGTCAGACTTGTGCTCCAGCTGAAGCTCTTCCCACATTCCTGGCAAGTGTACAGTTTCTCCCCTGTATGAACTCTCTGGTGGATGGTCAACAGCTCATGCCTAGGGAAATGCTTCCCACACTCCAGGCATTTGTAGGGTTTCTCCCCAGTATGGACCACTTGATGGTACGTAAGGCTTATGTTTTGGCTGAAGCTCATGCCACACTCCAGGCATTTAAAGGGTTTCTCCCCGGTGTGGGTCCTCTGGTGTCGGCTGAGGCCTGTGCTTGAGCTGAAGCTCTTTCCACACTCCAGGCATTTATAAGGAGTCACTCCTGAGTGTATCCTTTGATGTATCGTCAGCTGCCCACTCTGGCTAAAGCTTTTCCCACACTCCACGCACTGGAATGGCCTCTCCCCTGTGTGCACCCTCTGGTGATCCGTAAGCTGGTTGTGGCCACGGAAGCTCTTTCCACACTCTGGACATTTATAGGGCTTTTCACCCGTGTGGATCCTTTGATGGTAGGTGAGGCCCGGACCTGAATTGAAGTTCTTCCCACACTCCAGGCATTGATATGATTTCTCTCTTGGGTGATTTCGTTGATGGATAATAAGCCGCCCACTCTGACTGAAGCACTTTCCACACTCTGGACATTTATAGGGTTTTTCGACCACGACTTCTTGATAGTGGTAAGCAAAGCTTGATGCACTCTGGTTGAAGCATTTTCTTGATTCAAGAGACTGAAACGGTTTCTCCTCCATCTGCACTCTCTGATGGAAGCTCAAACTCTTTCCATACTCTGGCTGTTTTAATGGCTTCTCTGCTGGGCAGGATTCCCAGTGTTTTTCTAATGACGACTTAAGCACATCCTTAGCTGAAAAAGAGAAAGGAATGAAGTCATTGGAAAGAAAGGATTGCATTTTCCAATGGAAGAATGAAACAATGAAATGTGGTAGAGAATACTGGAATCTAAAAGCATTTTAAGTAATGCTGGTATGGAAGCCAATCCTAACAATAGAACATCTTAATATTTAACTCTGCTTGGATACTGGAGACCCACCTTGACTCTGTTGGCGGCTGTAAACCATTCTATACTTTTAATGCATTTTAGTTGTTTAGATTTTGTAATGCAAATGTGTTTGATGAAATTAATTATGTTTATTCAAGTACTTATTTTTGGCTAGTTATTATAAATTTATATTGATGTTGTTTTACTTATTGTTTTGATGTGGTCTGTCTGTCTACTTGTTTTTATTATGTCATTGAATGTTCGCCACTTTTTGTTTGGAAACCGACCTGATTCCCTCTAGGGATATAGAGCAGGTTATAAATAAAGATGATTATTATTATTATTATTATTATTATTATTATTATTATTATTATTTGAAACTCAACAAGATGAGTCCACAGCAGACAAGATCACTGCTGGCTGTTGTATTGGATCACACGTTGGACACTTCCCAAGTGTCTAGGACTGTGTGATGTATCAGCGAATGATGCGTGAAGATCCCAGTAAGGTGGCCTTCTGCAGCTGGCAGATGGTAATTTGGTCAGCGCCTATTGTGTTTAAGTGCAGGCCAAGGTCTTTAGGCACTGCACCCAGTGTGCCCATCACCATTGCGACCATCTTGACTGGCTTGTGCCAGAGTCTTTGCATCATCATTATTATTATTAGAAATTAGATTTCATTGATTTAATCTTAGCTACATATTAACAGTAAAAAAAGTTATAGTCAATAGCTAGCAGACTTGTATCGAACTAGAAGTGCATGACAGAAAATGCTGGTTTTGTTTCTTGTTCATTTAATCATAGTTCAGCTCTTGGTTTGATTTCCTTTCACTTTTTTGGTGGGGCAGAATCATAATCATCTTTTTCAATGAAGAGCTAAAGAAAACTTTAAAAAATGCATGCAACTACTTGTAAAGCTGTTTATTAGTCTGTTGTTACCTGTTACTTGAAAATTTGGAGAACCCCTTTCTGATAGATGCCTTCATCTGTAGACCGCAGACCGTGCACTGTGGTCTACAGAGGACACCCTCCTCTCAGTCCCACCCCCGTCACAAGCTCGATTGGTGGGAACGAGAGAAAACTTACAACAAAGGAATTAAATATCAAAATAAAGTAAAAACAAGAACAATCAATTAAGACATAGAAACTAAAACATAAATAAACATTAAAATATCATAAACAACCCTTCCTGAAAACCAAAGAAAAATAGGGGAAATATTCAAGAAATGGGGTTCCTACCCAGAGGGACACCAGTCTTTAGCTTCTCCTCCATTGTTTCCTTTTGCAGGGCTTTTTTCTTTGGGTTTGGCAGGGCCCCTTCCTCTTTGGTCAAATCTTCTGATCCCTCAAAGGACACCGGGACCTGGAAAAAAAATACACAAAGCATATTTCTGATTGCACAATATACAAACAAACAAGTACAACCATCAACACCTTGCAGTCAGGCATTCTCTGCCCCTATTTAAGGTTAGATTTGTGTTTTTCCTTCAATGTAGCATACAACAAGATTTCAGTAGCTGGACCACTCTGACAACCATCATGTCAGATTGCACAGAGAAGCCACTGAAATCCACAAGCACGTAAACAATTTCAACAGGAGGAAAGCATGAAAATGAACAAAATCTAGTTGCCAGTATTAAAAACATCAGAATCAAGACAGTAAATAATGAACACTACTCAGAAACAGGGGAACTCCACACAGCAAAAAATCAAGTCCCAAACAAAGGATGCCTCCAAGCAACAAGATACCCTCACTGATTGACTGTGCAGCTACTCAATGCTATTCAAGCTTGCTAAATGCAACATTCACACTTGTTTTAATTAGACAAGGGTTCTTTCTCCCACCCTGGATATGGATATGGATATGGATATATATATATATATATGAATATGGATATGGATATATATATATATGCACACACATACATACACATACATACATGCATACACTACTTGCCTAATTTCCAACAGACCTCTGAAGATGCCAGCCACAGATGCATAAGAAACGTCAGGAGAGAATGTAACTAGAATAAGGCCATACAACCCAAAAAACTCACAGCAACCCAATTTCAGTACCACGTTGCTCGGCATGCTCAAAACAAACCTTCTGAGCAATAAATACTGAGACTAGCTGATTACATATTAAAGAAGACTATTCTGAAACTGGAAATGAGGAATGAGGGGAAACAAGCATGAACCCATTTGTCTCTAATTCGCTCCCAGAGAATCTTCACAATAGGCAGAGGGCCTTCCCTTACCTGATCTGAGTGAAGAATAGCTTTTCCCAATTCATGACAAACAGGAGGAGATCTGGAATGCATCGTTGATGTTTTGTCACTGCCTTTAGAGAGACAGGAGGGAAACAAAGAGGACAGACTAATTGTTTCTGTATTAGAACCTGTGATGAAGTGTAAATTTTTATCTACAGTTATGTATTGTTATAGATAAGTGTTTGTAAGGGTAAGTATATAGTATTGCATAATATTGGGGGATGGTAGCCAGCTTAGCTCGCTTTGAGCTGAGTTGCTATGGAGATAGGGGCGGAGCCAACTGCCACTTGGCAGAGCAGCCATTTTAAAGCAGTCAGTCTGTGGTCGGTGAACTGCAGAAGTGGCTGGTTCTGTTGTGTGTGGAGAACCAGTGAGGATTCTGTAGTCAAAGAACTACAGGGGAAGGCTGATTCTTTGGTATTAAGAATCAGGAAGGTTTTGGCTTTGAGCCAATATAGTTTAGATAAGTCGAGTGACTTATTTATATTAAAAGTAACGGTTGTGGAAAAAGAGGGGAAGCCCTAATAAGCATCTTTATTGTAACAGAACCATCATAAAGAAAGGATAAGTGTGTGCCTGAAACAATCTGTTAAAGAAAGAAACATATTTTTAAAGGAACTAAGTTTGAGACCTGTTTGTTGGAAGAATTAGACCTCCTAAGAGTTATTTAAGAAGTGTTATGAATATAACCTTTGAAGATCTGTAACTCTTAGAGAAAGGAAACTTTGAAACCATCAAGCTTCTGTACCTCAATAAACTTATTACAGTTTCTTTTTAAAGTCAAGCCTATGTTACCATTCCTTTCCAAGTCAAGTCACGCTACATATTGAAGAAAGACCAAAGCAACATTACAAGCTATTGGTTGTGTCATCAATATAATAAGCCCTCACAAAGAGGTGGCTCCTTTTACCAACTCTCTACATATTGGTAGCAGTTATATTTATACATCCTTACAATTTGGTGGCATCATTGCAAATTGGTGGGCAAGCCTTTACAATTAGTAGCAGTAATATACAGGCTCCTTCACATCATCTGAAACTACATCATCCTAATTGTCTTGGCATGTCTCCCAACACCCCAATAATGGGCCCTATTGAAATGGGCCCAAGCATGCCATAGAGTCACACTAGGACCCTTCCACAGAACCATATAACCCAGAATATCAAGGCAGATAATCCACAATATGTGCTCTTGAACTGGATTATTGTGGATTTATTAACACAATAGGTCCACATTATTATTAATCCAGTTAATAATAATTAACTTATCATTAACTGGATTATTGTGGACTGAGATAATCCACAATATCTGCTTTGAACTGGATTATATGTGTGTCCCCCTCCTCATGGGAACCACTGAAGAGTATTTCAAGACATATGCGAAAACAACTATCATGATTTAATATAAGAATACAAATAGAGAAGAATTCTATACCTATTTGGCCAAGGGCAAAAGCATGCCTACCAAGAGAGGACACATTCCCATAATTCTCCAGCATAACTTCTCTGTATAGGGCTCTTTGATCTGGATCCAGCAGGGCCCACTCCTCCTTGGTGAAATGCACAGCAACCTCCTCAAAGGACACAGGGGCCTGGAAGAAAAGAGATGGTTGAGCTTAACGTGAAAAGTTTCTGCTATATAATAGCTGGAAAGTGCCTTTCTCTGGGTAGGTCTTCACATTTGTTCTGGTTTTAGACATTGTTGTTGTCATTGTGTACCTTCAACTTATAGACTCTAAGGCAGGCATGGGCAAACTTGGGCCCTCCAGGTGTTTTGGATTTCAACTCCCACAATTCCTAACAGCCTAATGGCTGTTAGGAATTGTGGGAGTTGAAGTCCAAAACACCTGGAGGGCCCAAGTTTGCCCATGCCCGCCCTATACTTTCAAAATTTATTTATTTACTTTATTTCTATACCGCTTTTCTCAGCCCTCCGGCGACTCAAAGCGGTGAACAACATCAGTACAAAATATCACAAAACAAGTATAGGGCAATTAAAAACAATTATCACATAAATCATTAACACCAGTATAACAATCATTAGCGCCTCAACAGTAAAATCAGAATCCAGTCTCGTCATCCATTATTCCGTATATCCTGTGTTCAATTACACTGTTTAATCAAATGCTTGTTCGAACAGCCAGGTCTTCACTTTCCTCCGAAACGCCAGCAGGGAGGGGGCCAATCTGATATCTGCAGGCAGGGCGTTCCACAGCCGAGGGGCCACCACTGAGAAGGCCCTGTCTCTCGTCCCCGCCAAGCGCGCCTGTGATGCAGGGGGACCGAGAGCAGGGCCTCCCCAGATGATCTTAGTGTCCTAGTCGGTTCATAGGAGGAGATGCGTTCGGAGAGGTAAGTAGGGCCAGAACCGTTTAGGGCTTTATAGGCCAGCCAGCACTTTGAATTGTGCCCGGTAGCAAACTGGCAGCCAGTGGAGCTGGCACAACAGAGGAGTTGTATGCTCCCTGAGTGCCGCTCCTGTTAGCAACCTGACTGCCGAGCGCTGGACCACTTGAAGCTTCCGAGCAGTCTTCAAAGGCAACCCCAGGTAGAGAGCGTTGCAGTAGTCTATACGGGATGTAACCAGAGCGTGGACTACCGTGACAAAGTCAGACTTCCCAAGGTACGGGCGCAGCTGGCGCACAAGCTTTAACTGTGCGAATGCTCCCCTGGTCACCGCCGAAACCTGGGGTTCCAGGCTCAGCAATGAGTCCAGGATCACACCCAAGCTGCGAACCTGCATCTTCAGGGGAAGTGCGACCCCATCCAACACAGGCTGTAACCCTATGCCCTGTTCGGCCTTGCGACTGACCAGGAGTACCTCTGTCTTGTCTGGATTCAATTTCAATTTGTTCGCCCTCATCCAGACTGTGACAGCGGCCAAGCACCGGTTCAGGACCTGAACAGCCTCCTTAGTAGCAGGTGGGAAGGAGTGACAGAGTTGGACATCATCTGCTTACAGATGACACCGTACCCTGAAACTCCAAACTTTCCCCTCTCTTTTCTTTTCTTACAAATGAGAAACATATTTCCCCAAAGCCTGCAGCATATGTAAAGTAAACCACTGCTGTGTGTTATTTGGTAGTACAGCTGGGTTAATCACTAGCTGCAATAAATCACTGCCAACCGAAAGGTGGCAAGTTCGAAGCCCGAGTCGGGGTTGAACTCCCAACTTTAAATAGCCTTGCTTACTGTCCGCCTAAGCAGTTTGAAAACAGCTGTGCTGTGAGTAGAGAAATTAGGACCGCTTAAAGCAGGGAGGTTAATTTATAACACCATAAAAATGCCAGAGAGCAAGGATAAAATACTACGATCAAAAGGCTCAGTGGTATAGTGGTTGAAGCAACAGCTTTCCCTGTGGCCGAATCGAGCAACCTCCAGGATCCAAAGTGGAAGAAACTGCTGAATAACCTCTGTCTGTCTGTCTGTGTTGTTTTGTCAAAAACAGCATTGAATGTTTGCTGTGCATGTGTGCATTGTGATCCACCCTGAGTCCCCTTTGGGGTGAGAAGGGATGAATATAAATACTGTAAATAAATAAATCTATATAAATAAAAATGTAAAGTCCGTTTGTGGGATTAGCATAACTCAAAAACCACTGGACGAATTGAGACCAAATTTGGACACAATACACCTATCAGGCCAATGAGTGACCATCTGTAACGAAATAGCTAATTATAATGTATATTTTAAATGTTTTTAGATGTTGGGATATGATAGATGCAGGCCAGCTGGTATGGTCATTTATTTGTTGTCTTTTACACCATCACTCATAAAAACACTGAAAAACACAGTGGAAGGGACTTCAAAAGCCAAAATAGCAAAAAGACGCTACAGCGCATGTGTAAAACCACATATATACATATATACACAAATATATACACAAATATATTCACAAATATATACACACACAAAACACTGGGCCACAGCAACACGTGGCAGGGGATGGCTAGTAATAAATAAATATACTGTACTTTGGCTTCAGCTAATCACCAGCTGCAGCTGCAGCAAATCTTGCCAACCAAAAGGTTGACCGTTTGAAGCCGGGTCAGGGTGAGCTCCTGACCTTCAGCCTGGCTCCCCTGCACATCTAGCGGATCAAATCAGCAATGTAGGAACCACATTAAGGAGGGAGGTACGATGTTTAGGCACGATGTTTCAGAGGAAAGTTTACAAACAAAGAAAACTCTTTGGCAAGGTGAGGGAGCAACTGCACCCCCTGTGGCCGGAACCGAGCACAGCCTCCAAAGTTGCTGAATGATGAGAAAAAGGCTATATATGCCTCTATCTGTAGGAAGAGGGGCTGGCCAAGGACAAGATGGATAGATGATCTCCTTGACGTGACTGCCTTGACCTTGAAGGAGCTGGGGGTGACACAACCGACAAGGAGCTCTGGCATGGGCTGGTCCATGAGGTCACGAAGAGTCAGAAGCAACTGAATGAATAAACAACACCCTCTATCTGTTGTCTGTCTAGTCATTATATCATCGGAATTGGATGTTTGCTATATATGTGTTCTGTGATCCACCCCGAGTCCCCTTTGGGTGTAAGAGGCCAGAATGTAAGTGCTGTAAATAAATAAATAATACCATACTTTCCCAAGACAGCATTCAACAGGATGAAATCTCACAAGGATGCCCTTCTCCTCACTCTTTTCTACCGGGAAACCTGCAGAAACTCACCTCTTTCTGCAGCCCCCACATTTCTGTCCTTGGGACATTCTTCTCTAGGAAGGTCAGCATCTTCTCTTGCAGTGGGGCATCTCTAAGGAGACCCCACAAGATGGTCTGAAGGGCTTCCCATTTATCCATGGACCTCAACGTCCATTGCAGGTCCTCCATTTCCAGCGGGGCAACCACTTTCCCCTGCAGTCTCTTCTCCATCTTTTCTCGCAGAGATCCCCAAAGGTCATCCTTTTGGGTGTCCTCCACCTCTTGTTGCAAGGTGTTCTCCATAAGGATGTTGTTATCTAAAGCAACTGGAAGGAGGGAAGCCTCTTCCTCCAGCAAAGGGGCATCACAAAGGGTGACATCTATGTCTGAAAGGCCACCTTCTTGCTTTACTCCAAAACCAAGCAGACCACTCCTGAGCATGACCACCTTCTTCCTCAGGAGGTCCATTCGCTCTCCCAAGACAACCTGTGGGGTGCCCACCTTCCCCATAAGGGAACCCATTTTATTTTGCTTCGCAAACTGTAGGGTGCCCATTTTCCCCTTCAGGGGCTCCATTTTGTCTGTCCTCCAATCACCCTGAGGGGTCTTCTTCACCCATTCCTGCAAGCTTCCATCTTTTCCCAGCAGGAGCTCCATTTCTTCTCTTAAGGCAACTTGAGGGTCACCCATCCTGTCCTGCGAGATGCCCGCCTTCTCACTAAAGGAATCCATTTTTTCTTGCTGAGCGGCCTGCATGTTGTCCACTTCTCGCCTCACAGCCTCCATTTCCTTTCTCAAGGCCCCCTGAGGTCCATCTATTTCTTCCTTACGGGTGCCTATTTTCCCCCTCTGAGACTGTCGTTCTTCTCTTAGGGAACCCCGAGAAATATCTCTTTCTTTCACTTTCTTCCTCAGGGGCTCAATTTCCTCTCTCGGGGGAACCTGAAGGACATTTATTTCCTCCACTTTTTCCCTCAGAGTTTCAATTCTTAAGAAACACTGAGCGCCATCTCTTGCTTCCCCCAGGGTGACCATTTCCCCCAACAAAAGCTCAATTTCCTCTCTTAAGGGGCCTCTTTCTTCCACTTTCCCCCTCAGGAGCTCAATTTCCTCTCTTAAGGAATCCTGAGAGACATCTCTTTCTTCCATTTCTCCCCTCAGAGGCTCCATTTTATCTCCCAGGAAAACCTTAGGGCCACCTATTTCTTCCCTCGGGGTGCCCATTTTCCTCCTCAGAGGCTGTATTTCCTCTCTTAAGGAACCCTGAGAGACATCTCTTTCTTCCTTCAGGGTGCTTGCTTTCCCCCTCAGGGGGTTCATTTTCCCTCTCAAGAGAATCTGAGAGACATTTATTTCCTCCGCTTTCCCCCTCAGAGGCTCCATTTCCCCTCTTGAGGTACCCTGAGGGTCACCTATTTCTTCTTTCAGAGTGTTCATTTCCCCCCTCAGAGGCTGTATTTCCTCTCTTAAGGCAGCCTGAGGGACATCTGTTTCTTCCTTCAAGATGCCTATTTCCTCCACTTTTCCCCTCAGAGACTCCATTTGCTCTCTCAAGGAATCCTGGGGGACATTTATTTCCTCCACTTTCCCCCTCAGAAGCTCCCTTTTTCCTCTCAAGGGCTCGATTTCATCTCTTAAGAAACCCTGAGAGACATCTCTTCCTTCCTTCAGGATGCCCACTTTTCTCTTCAGATACTCCATTTCCTCCCTCAAGGTAACCTGGGAGCCATCTATTTCTTCCTTCAGGGTGCCCATTTTCCCCCTCAGAGACTGAAGGATGCCCACTTTTCCTTTCAGAGGGTCCATTTCCTCTCTTAAGGAACCTTGAGAGACATCTCTTTCCTTCACGTTTCCCCTCAGAGGTTTAATTTTTCCTCTTAAGGGAAAGGGGACCTGAGGGACATTAATTTCTTCCACTTTCCTCCTCAGAGATTCCACTTCCTCTCTTAAGGAACCCTGAGAGACATCTCTTTCCTTCACTTTCCTCCTCAGGGGATCCATTTCCTCTTCTAAGGAACCCTGAGGGGCGTCTCTTTCTTCCAATTTCCCTTTCAGGAGCTTCATTTTTCCTCTCAAGGGAACCTGAGAGACATCTTTTTCCTTCACGTTTCCCCTCAGAAGTTCCATTTTCCCTCTCAAGGGGACCTGAGGGACATTGATTTTCTCCACTTTCCCCCTCAGAGACTTCATTTCCTCTCTTAAGGAACACTGAGAGACATCTCTTTCCTCCACTTTTCCCCTCAGAGGTTCCATTTTCCCTTCTAAGGAACCCTGGGGGGCGTCTCTTTCTTCCAATTTCCCATTCAAGGGCTTCATTTTTCCTCTCAAGGGAATCTGAGGGACATTTATTTCCTCCACTTTCCCCCTCAGAGACTCCATTTCCTCTCTTAGGAAACCCTGAGAGACATCTCTTTCTTCCACTTTTCCCCTCAGGAGCTCCATTTTCCCTCTCAAGGGAACCTGAGGGACATCAATTTCCTTCACTTTTCCCCTCAGAGGTTCTATTTCCTCTCTCAAAGCAACCTGAGGGTCACCTAGTTCTTCCTTCAGGGTCCCCATTTGCCCCCTCAGAGACTGAAGGATGCCCACTTTTTCCCTTAGATTCTCCATTTTCCCTCTCAAGGGAACCTGAGGGACATCTATTTCTTCCACTTTTCCCCTCAGGACATCGATTTCCTCCACTTTCCCCCTCAGAAACTCCACTTCCTCTCTTAAGAAACTCTGAGAGACATCTTTTTCCTCTACTTTTCCCCTCAGAGGTTCCATTTTTCCTCTCAAGGGAATCTGAGGGACATTTATTTCCTCCACTTTCCTCCTCAGAGAGTCCATTTCCTCTCTTAAGGAATCCTGAGGCCTATCCATTTCTTCCCTCAGGGAGACCATTCCCCCCCCCCCCCAGAGGAACAATGAGAGACATCTCTTTTCCCCTTTTTCACACCCAGGGGCTCCATTTCCCCCCTCCAGAGCCCCTATTTCTCCCTCCAGGATTGGGGAGAACCCTTCTTTTCCTCCTCCTCCCTTCCTCAGCTCCTTCTCGAAGGACGAGGCGTCGCGTTCACACGATCACTGACCCAGACGCGTGTCAGCCTCTCTTTGACCCGAGTTGGGTCCTCCTTGGTCGAGAGAGGCCTCCTCCTTTCTCCCAGATCATCCCTGTATACATATAATCCTTATTAATTTCCATATCCCAGCTTGTGAGAGCAAAAAGCTCAGGATCCTGGGAAGGGTAGTTTTTGCAAAAGTAACTTCTCTACCCAGACCTGCTATTCCTAGGTAACCCACGAGGGGGCAGCCTCTTCCTATGTTATACATGTATGTATACACATCCCAGGATGTCATGAACCAGATGCTAAGGATAATGGGAATGGTTAAAAAAAAAGTAACTTTTCTGTCTAGGTCTGTAATCCTAGTATTTAGCTCACTAAGAGCAAAGAGAGGGAGCAAATGCTTCATTCCAGCTGTGTCTGTGTCGTAACACTTCTTATCCTCATCCCATCCTGTTAGAGCCCTTGGCAGCCACCTCTCCACAAAAGTCAACATTGACACTGAAATACAACACCTCCTGAGCTCTGCGAGTGCAGCGTTTTTCCGAATGAAGCAGAGAGTGTTTGAGGACCGGGACATCCGTAGGGATACCAAGGTGCTTGTTTATAAAGCTATTGTCCTCCCAACCCTGCTATATGCCTGCGAAACGTGGACTGTCTACAGACGTCACATGCAACTCCTGGAACGATTCCATCAGCGCTGCCTCTAGAAAAATCCTGCAAATTTCTTGGGAAGACAAGCGGACAAATGTCAGCGTGCTGGAAGAAGCAAAGACCACCAACATTGAAGCGATGGTCCTCCACCATCAACTCCACTCATCTCCAATTTTTTCCAAATAGATGTAATAGATGTAATGGGAATGACAATCCTCTCAAAAGTAACTTTTCCACCAACCCACATACACACACACACACACACACACATTATATAAGCCCCCGGTGGCATAATGGGTTAAATCCTTGTACTGGCAGGACTGCTGACTGAAAGGTCGGCAGTTTGAATCCGGGGAACGGGGTGAGCTCCCGCCTGTCAGGTCCAGCCTCCCATTCAGGTACATGAGAGAAGCCTTCCACAGGATATTAAAACACCCGGATGTCCCCTGGGCAACGTCCTTAAAGATGGCCAATTCTCTCACACCAGAAGCGGCTTGCTGTTTCTCAAGTCGCTCCTGACATGGAAAAAAATGCTCTCTCTCTCTCTCTCTACATATATATATATATATAGGGAGCCCCCGTGGCACAGCAGGTTAAACCACAGAGCTGCTGAACTTGCTGACCAAGGTCAGTAGTTTAAATCCAGAAAGCGGCGTGAGCTCCTGCTGTTAGCCCCAGCTTCTGCCAACCTAGCCATTCAAAAACATGCAAATGTGAGCAGATCAATTGATACTGCTCCGGTGCAAAGGTAACAGCACTCCATGCAGTCATGCCGTCCATATGATCAAACAGTAGGCTATTAGGAATTTTGGGAGTTGAAGTCCCAAACACGTGGAGGGCCAAAGTTTGCCCGTGCCTGGGTTAAACCCTTGTGCCAGCAGGGCCGCTGACTGAAAGGCCAGCAGTTAGAATCCGGGGATCGGGGTGAGCTCCCTTCTGTCAGCTCCTGCTTCTCATGAGGGACATGAGAGAAACCTCCCACAGGATGGTAAAACATCCGGGCAACGTCCCCTGGGCAACGTCCTTGCAGACAGACAATTCACCAGAAGCGACTTGCAGTTTCTCAAGTTGCTCCTGACACAAAAAATCCAAAACTAAACACTCACTCTATTTATCTATCTATATAACCATCAGTTGGGATTGGGCCCTGCAACTGATGGAAGGACAACTTACTTACTTAGGCAATCCCTCGTTGTCCGAGTAGGATTATCTTCCAAGTTCGCTGTACTGGTGGTGGGTCCATAGGTGACTGTGGAGCCCTATTCTTGAGCTGCATCTTCTCCCACAGTGAGGGCATTGGTTTCCAGGTGGAAGGCAGTCCCGGTCGGGGTTGGCTGAACGCACCTTCTTCTTGGCATATTTCTCTCTTTACCTTCCATTCGTGCCTCTTCAAATTCACTGCTGGTCACAGCTGACTTCCAGCTGGAGCTCTCAAGGGCCAGGGCTTCCCAGTTCTCAGTGTCTATGCCAGAGTTTTTGAGGTTGGCTTTGAGCCCGTCTTTCAATCTCTTTTCCTGTCCACCAACATTCTGTTTTCTGTTCTTGAGTTCGGAGTAGAGCAACTGCTTTGGAAGACGGTGGTCGGGCATCCGGACAACGTGGCCGGTCCAGCGGAGTTGATGGCGGAGGACCATCGCTTCAATGCTGTTGGTCTTTGCTTCTTCCAGCACCCTGACATTTGTCTGCCTGTCTTCCCAAGAGATTTGCAGGATTTTTTGGAGGCAGCGCTGATGGAATCGTTCCAGGAGTTGCATGTGACTTCTGTAGACTGTCCACGTCTCGCAGGCATATAGCAGGGTTGGGAGGACAATAGCTTTATAGACAAGCCCCTTGGTCTCCCTATGGATGTCCAATCCTCAAACACTCTCTGCTTCCTTTGGAAAAATGCTGCACTAGCAGAGCTCAGGCGGTGTTGAATTTCAGTGTCAATGTTGACTTTTGTGGAGAGGTGACTGCCAAGGGAGCAGAAATGGTCAACATTTTCTAATGTTACACTTTTAAACTGTATTTCTGGCATTGGAGAGGGATTGGCTGGTGACTGCTGGAAGAGCACTTTGGTTTTCTCCATGTTCAATGACAGGCCGAGCTTCTCGTATGCTTCTACAAAGGTGTTTAGAGTGGCCTAGAGGTCTTCTTCTGAATGCGCACAGACGACATTGTCATCAGCATACTGTAGTTCTATATCAGATATTGTTGTAACCTTGGTTTTGGCTTCCAGTCTGCTGAGTTAAACACTGCTGTAGAGTAGGATGGGAGGAGGTGGGTGAGCTTGCTTTTATGACTTTGCCTGCTGGCAAGGGTGGGAATAATCTACCCCCTTAGCTTGGTTTAGGGACACAAAACCAGGGAAGAAGGGTCCCAGATGTGTCCCTGTGCTGCACACAATCCATTTCAGGGTTAAAGGGAGAGAGCTATTAAGCCTAGAGTGGCATGGGGAAATACAGCAGCCTGAGATCCCTTTAAATGCTCTGGCTGCTTCTCCAGGGGTTTTGGACTTCATTTCCCAGAAGCTCCAGCCAGCTTGGCTAATAGCAAGGAATTCTGGGAGTTGAAGTCCAAGAAGCAGGCTTAACGCAGCTGCCCCTGCAGTACTGCGCCTGGCAGGAAGGAAGGGGCGGGACAAAGGCCAAGAGTGACAGCTAGGAGGAGAGCTGCTTCCTGCTTCCCAGAAGGAGAGGTCCCTTTGCTGAGTCCCCTTCCCTTTGGAGCCTTTGGGGTTAGAGGAGAGGCCAGGCAGGTAAGTGGAAGGGGATGGATGGAGGGGAAATGGCCAGGTGCCCTGCCATGCTTCCTGTGTGCAATGCATCCCTGCATTCCCATCCCTTCCTTCCTTATTTATTTACTTACAGTATATTCTGGCGTATAAGACTACTTTTTAACCCAAGAAAATCTTCTCAAAAGTCAGGGGTCGTCTTTTACGCGGGTGTAGTCTTATGCATGGGAGTCGTCTTAACTCTATATTTTAACTGGAAAAGTTGGGGGTCGTCTTATACGCCCAGTCGTCTTATATGCCGGAATATACGGTACTTACTTATGTATTTATTTAATTACTTATTTATTTAATTACTTATTTATTTAATTACTTATTTATTTACACTTATTTATTTACTTATTTACTTGCTTACTTATTTATATACTTTCTTATTTATATACTTTCTTACTTGCTTACTTATTTATTTACTTATTTATTTACTTACTTATTTATTTATTTACTTACTTATTTGTCCCCAGAGTATATTTCCCCACCTGTATGAAGGTCTATATTTATGACCCTGTTCCTTTACGGGTTTCTCCCGCACAAACAATCTACTCCATCCCTATCTCATTCTGATTTTAGTATTTTTGGTATCTTAGTTTTTATCTGGCACATGTGGCCCACTCATTGTTATGTTATGTTATTTTACTGTGTATGATTTTGCTTTTTCGTCTTTGTACTCATATGTTGTATGTATTTACTGCGTTGTTATTGTGTTTTGCTTTTACTTTATTGTAATAAGCTGCCCCGAGTCCCCATTGGGGAGATGGTGACGGGGTATTAAATAAAGATTATTATTATTATTATTATTATTATTATTTACTTACTTGCTTACTTACTTACTTACTTATTTATTAACTTACTTGCTTATTTATTTACTTATTTACTTACTTATTTATTTATTTACTTATTTACTTACTTACAGCATTTATATTCCATGCTACTCACCCTTCAGGGGACTCAGGGTGGATTACAATGCACATATACACGGCAAACAATCAATGCCATTTAGACATACAACATATATAGACAGACACAAAGGCAATTTAACATTCCAGCTTTCCAGCTTCATGAGGGTATGCTCGATTCCAGCCACAGGGTGAGCTATCACTTCTCTGTCCACTTGTGACACCGAGTCCTTGATGGAGTACTTCCTCATTCTTCTGCACGCTGCTGGAAATGTTTATGGTGTTGTAAATTATTTAAATTAGCCTTCCCGCATAAGGTGGTACTAAAATTTCCTACTTGACAGATGCAACTGTCTTTCAGGCTGCATAGGTCAACAGCAAGCTAGACTATTAACAGTCGGGAGCTCACTCCAACCCGAGCTGGCAGATTTATCTCTATTTGTTATATCCTCTTAATAATGGCAAGTGCTGAAGGGCGATGGCATGCCTTGCATTCCAGGATGAGCAACTTGTTTCATGGGCTTGAAGGGTGCATCTACACTGTAGGACAGGGGTCCTCAAACTAAGACCCGAGGGCCGGATACGGCCCTCCAAGGTCATTTACCTGGCACTCGCTCAGGGTCAACCTAAGTCTGAAATGACTTGAAAGCACACAACAACAGTCCTATCTCATCAGCCAAAAGCAGGCCGACACTTCCCACTTAAATACTAACAAGTTTATATTTCTCAGTTCTTCTGGGTTTTTTCGGGCTATATGGCCATGTTCTAGAGGAATTTCTTCTGACATTTCGCCTGCATCTATGGCAAGCATCCTCAGAGGAGACCTCACCTCTGAGGATGCTTTCCATAGATGCAGGCGAAACCTCTGAGGATGCTTTCCATAGATGCAGGCGAAAACCCACAAGAACGGAGTGATTCCAGCCATGAAAGCCTTCGACAAGTTTATATTTGTTAAAATTGTTCATCATTTTAAGTATTGTATTGTTTTAGAGTGTTTTTTGCGCTACAAATGAGATATAGGAATTCGTTCGTGTTTTTTTTTTTTTTCAAATTATAATCCGGCCCTTCAACAGTTTGAGGGACTGTGACCTGGCCCTCTGTTTAAAAAGTTTGATCCTTAATGGGTGTAGTTGATCTGGCCCTGGGGACTTGAACTTGTTTAGAGTGGCCAGGTATTCCTGGACAACTTGTTTCCCAATTTGAGGTTGGATTTCCCCTAATCCCTTGTCCAATCCATCTTGCTGAGGTTGAGGACGACTTTCTTTTTGTGAGAAGACTGAGGCAAAGAAGACATTAAGTAGTTCTCCCGTCAACATTTCCTCATCTTCTCCTCGCAGAGGTTCTATCGCCTCCTTGTTCTTCCTTTTTCTACCAACGTAAGCAAAAAAGCCCTTTTTATTGTTTCTAATATCCTTGGTTTGAGCTTGTTTTGCACTTCAGCCTTGCAAACCTTTTCCCTTCAGGAGTTGGTTATTCGTTTGAATTCTTCTTTGGTGATTTCTCTCCTTTTCCACTTCTTGTGCATCTCTCTATTGAGTCTTAGCCCAGTATAAACTTCACCGTACATTTTGTTTTGTCCTTGTAGGACTTGGCCTGCCCAGTCGTTTTGCCAGAAGGAGGAAGAGAGCCCAATGAAATGTGGGGCAGGAGAAGCGTTGGGTTCCCAATCAGAATGGGCAAGGATGCCCTGGATAAGAAGGCTTTCAGCCCACACCTTCAGGGCCGACACTTCCGGCGCTTCCTCTTCCAGGAGGCCTTGGGGCCGCGAGAGGTGTGCAGCCGCCTCCACTCTCTCTGCCGCCTGTGGCTGAAGCCCGAGCGACACTCCAAGGCGGAGATGCTGGACCTGGTGATCCTGGAGCAGTTCCTGGCCGTCCTTCCTGCGGAGATGGAGCGCTGGGTGAGGGGATGTGGGCCAGAGACCAGTTCCCAGGCCGTGGCCTTGGCTGAAGGATTCCTCCTGAGTCGGGACCAAGAGGAGAAAGAGAAGGAGACACAGGTAAAAATATGTCACTTTGGCATTTCAAAGTTTATTTTCATAGATAATGAAAGCTCTTCAAAAGTTGAAGCTTAATCCAATTGAAAGGCAGAGCAGAGGATATGGAGTCAAGTCTTCATGTTTGTCACATTAGACTAAATTTTCCCAAAGACACAAGTTTGAAGTCTCCATGTGCTCCGCACCATAGAATCAATAAAGTCTGATACCACTTTAACTGCCACCACTCAATGTTATAGAAGCCTTGGATTTGGAGTCAGGTGAGCTATCTCAGAACTTCCAAGTGCCTTAACTTGGTGGTTATCTTATTATTATATAACAACAACAACAACAACAACAACAACAACGCAGCCCAAGAACAAGCCATTAGAACCAATGCCATCAAAGCCAGAATTGAAAAGTCGGTGATGGATCTCAAATGTAGACTCTGCAAGGAAGCAGATGAAACACTAGATCCCATCCTCAGCTGCTGCAAGAAGATCGCACAGACAGACTACAAGCAGAGGCACAACACCGTTGCTCAGATGAGTCATTGGAACTTGTACCACAAATACTATCTGCCTGCAACAAAGAACTGGTGGGATCACAAGCCTGAAAAAAAGTTACAGAAAATGAATGCGTCAAACTCTTCTGGGACTTCCGGATTCAGACTGACAGAGTTTTGGAGCACAAGACTCCTGACCTCATGATTGTGGTAAAAAACCAAGTATGGATTGTCAATGTTGCAGTCCCAGGTGACAGCAAGATTGAAGAGAAACAACTGGAAAAACGGACACGATATAAGGACACGAACTTGGGGGGTCCCAGTGGTGATCGGCACACTGGGTGCAGTGCTTAAAAACCTTGGCCTGCACTTAAACACAATCAGCGCTTACAAAATTACCATCTGTCAGCTGCAAAAGGCCACCCTACTCGGATCTGCACACTTTATTTGCCAATACATCACACAGTCTTCGACACTTAGTAAGTGTCCGAAGTGTGATCCAATACAACAGCTAGCAGAGTGACCTTGTTTGCTGTGTACTAATCTTTTTGTGTTTATAATAATAATAATAACAACAATAATAATAGTAATAATAATAATAGTAATGTTTTCTTTATTACCCCTGCAGACCTCGTTTAAAGAAGAAGCGGCCACAATAGAGACGTCCCCTTCTGAATCCCATCAAAGGCTGCACCCAAAGAGGATCAAGGTGGAATGGGGCAGAGCATCCCCCTTTGAGGGTAAGGATCAAAGCGGTAGCTTTTTGTTCGACTTCCTGTGGGTTGCAGCTCTTCAATCATTATCTGTACAGGCATCCCCAGCTTATTTGGTGATTTAGGGATCAGTGTGTTGAACAAGAAGCTGGAAATGGTTAAGAATTAGAGCCCAGCCTTTTCTTTAGCTATTATAAAGTGGATCAGAAGAATCATAGAATCATAGAGTTGGAAGAGACCTCATGGGCCATCCAGTCCAACCCCATTCTGCCAAGAAGCAGGAAAATCGCATTCGAAGCAACCCCGACAGATGGCCATCCAGCCTCTGTTTAAAAGCCTCCAAAGAAGGAGCCTCCACTACACTTTGGGGCAGAGAGTTCCACTGCTGAACAGCTCTCACATTCAGGAGTTTTATCCTAATGTTCATGTCAGTCGCATTGGCAGCACAGCAAGGCAGAAATTGATCAATCACAGCCGTCTTAGGCTATAAACTACTTTATTTTACAGCTATATATACATTAGAAACTACTTAACACTCAGCACATCGTAAACTTGCTTCTTTACTAACTTCTATCAGTACTAGTCCACACCTCTTGCATTCCAAAGTGATGTATGACTTACGACATTAAGTCCATTTGTTCTATACACTTGATTTATGACCTCTCTAGGAATGCCGTTCCCTCCATGGTTCAGTTAACTCTTTCCACACAGGAATACATTACACCCGGCACATAGCTACTGCATTTTAAACATACATACATACATACATACATACTTTGAAATCTACATTATAAATTGCAAACAGTTTAGATGGAATCTCTTTTCTTGTAGTTTGAAGCCATTGTTTTGCATCCTAGTCTCCAGGGCAGCAGAAAACAAGATTGCTCCCTCCTCCCTAGGACTTCCCCTCACATATGTATTCATGTCCCTCGTCATGTCTCCTTTCAGCCTTCTCTTCTGTAGGCTAAACATACCCAGCTCTTTAAGCCGCTCCTCATAGGGCTTGTTGTCCAGACCCCTAATCATTTGAGTCACCCTCCTCTGGAGACATTCCAGCTTGTCAACATCTCCCTTCAATTGTGGTGCCCAGAATTGGACACAGTGTGATCCCAGGTGTGGTCCAACCAAGGCAGAATAAAGCATGGGGAGCATGACTTCCCTAGATCTAGACACTAGGCTCCTCTTGATGCAGACCAAAATCCCATTGGCCTTTTTAGCTGCAGCATCACATTGTTGGCTCGTGTTTAACTTGCTGTCCACGAGGACTCCAAGTTCCTCTGTCCATGGATTTCAATAGTCCTTTGAAGGCAACTGTAAGACTGATGTGGCCCTAGGTGAATGTGAGTTTGACACCCCTGCCATAAAATATCCAAATGGGATACCAGTGAGCAGTCTAGCTGGTATTGTTGTAGTTTTTTCGGGCTGTATGGCCATGTTCTAGAAGCATTCTCTCCTGACGTTTCGCCTGCATCTAGGGCAGGCATCCTCAAAGGATTTGAGGTCTTTTGGAAACTAGGAAAATTGGGTTTACATATCTGTGGAGTAATGTCCAGGGTGGGAGAAAAAACTCTTGTCTGCTGGAGCTAGGTGTGAATGTTTCAGTTGGCCACCTTGATTAGCATTTGATGGCCTGACAGTTTTTAGGTGTGGCTTGTTAGTGCCTGGGGGAATCCTTTGTTGAGAGTCTAGCTGGTACATTTTGTACAAGTGGCAGTGTTGGAGTCATCTTCAAGAGCATCCCCAGGTAGAGTGCATTGCATTTGTGTCAGCATGTGGATCGGAAACAGAGAAAACTGGTCCTTTTTTCTTTGACTCACAGAAGATGGAATAAAGGCAGAACCTCTGTGTACAATGACGTCTCCCCATCAGGATGCTCCCAGGACACCTTCTGCTCACCTGGACCAGGTATGGGGATGAAGAGCCCTTCCGAGGCCAAGGAACATGTTAGGTGTCTCTCACCCTACATAAATTCTAAGTTTCTTCCTTCAAAGTTGCCCTTCTAACAGGTCTGTTGTGTCAAAAATGTACGACATTTCTTCTTTTCTGATTGCGGTCGTCCCTTCTCACTCAGGTGTGACATGTCTTCTTTCAGGTGACCTTCAGGGAGGTGGTGGTGGATTTCTCCACAGAGGAGTGGGCCTTGTTGGGTCCAGACCAAAGGGACCTCTACAGCGAAGTCATGGAAGATAATTTGAGGATTTTTTCCGCTTTGGGTGAGGCTCCTTTTTTCTTGGGGTTGATTGGAGACCGGATTACAAGTGCGGAGGAGTCGATTTGGAGCTCTTCCTTAGTAAGCTGTGTTGTGGATTGTAAATGTAAATAAGTGGAAGCTTTACCACAGTTTCTGAACCAAGATATACCCTGCAGCATAATAATGTGTCACTCAGACTTTGTGTAACAAATAACAGTAACTTTACTTCAGTTCAAAAGGTCAAACAGGGCAACAATATATACAGCACTCTTTTCTGAATTCTGACAGGATAGAGGGAATAAACAGTCCTTTTAAATCAGCATTTCTCAACCTGGGGGTCGGGACCCCTGGGGGGTCGCGAAAGGGTGTCAGAAGGGTCACCAAAGACCACCAGAAAACACAGTATTTTCTGTTGATCATGGGAGTTCTGTGTGCGAAGTTCAGCCCAATTGGTCCAGGTCTATCATTATTTTGAGTCCACAGTGCTCTCTGGATGTAGGTGAACTACAACTCCAAAACTCAAGGTCAATGCCCACCAAACCCTTCCAGTATATTCTGTTGGTCATGGGAGTTCTGTGTGCCAAGTTTGGTTCAATTCCATTGTTGGTGGAGTTCAGGATGCTCTTTGATTTATGGTGAACTATAAATCCCAGCAACTACAATTCTCAAATGTCAAGGTCTATTTTCCCCAAACTCCACCAGTGTTCACCTTTGGGCATATTGAACATCCGTGCCAAGTTTGGGCCCAATACATCATTGTTTGAGTCCATAGTCCTCTCTGGATGTAGGTGAACTACAAGTCCAAAACTCAAGGTCAATGCCCACCAAACCCTTCCAGTATATTCTGTTGGTCATGGGAGTTCTGTGTACCAAGTTTGGTTCAATTCCATTGTTGGTGGAGTTCAGGATGCTGTTTGTAGGTGAACTATAAATCCCAGCCCAAATGACAAAATCAATCCTCTACCAACCCTACCAGTATTCAAATTTGGGTGTATCGGGTATTTGTGCCAGATTTGGTCCAGTGAATGACAATACATCCTGCATATCAGATATTTACATTACGATTCATAACAGTAGCAAACTTACAGTTATGAAGTAGCAATGAAAATAATGTTATGGTTGGGGGTGGCTTCGAACTCATGACTTTTCAGTCAGTAGTGATCTTAATGCAGCTATTTATTTGTCGTGTCAGGGCAACCAGTCAATTGTATTACATTTCTAACAGAACAAAACAAACAAACACAAACACAAAATTTGCAGGTTTGGTAGTTGATTCAATGTTCTTTGACCAGTATCTGGCCACTTGGAGTGCTTCTGGTGTTGCTACAAGAAGGTCCTCCATTGTGCATGTGGCAGGGCTCAGGGTGCATTGCAGCAGGTGGTCAGTGGTTTGCTCTTCTCCACACTCGCATGTCGAGGATTCCACTTTGTAGCCCCATTTCTGAAGGTTGGCTCTGCATCTCGTGGTGCCAGAGCGCAGTCTGTTCAGCGCCTTCCAAGTCGCCCAGTCTTCTGTGTGCCCAGGGGGGAGTCTCTCATTTGGTATCAGCCATTGGTTGATGTTCTGGGTTTGAGCCTGCCACTTTTGGACTCTCGCTTGCTGAGGTGTTCCAGCGAGTGTCTCTGTAGATCTTAGAAACCTATGTCTGGATTTAAGTCGTTGACGTGCTGGTTGATACCCAAACAGGGGATGAGCTGGAGATGTCTCTGCCTTGGTCCTTTCACTATTGGCTGCTACTTCCCGGCGGATGTCAGGTGGTGCAATACCGGCTAAGCAGTGTAATTTCTCCAGTGGTGTAGGGCGCAGACACTCCGTGATAATGCGGCATGTCTTATTAAGAGCCACACCCACTGTTTTAGCGTGGTGAGATGTGTTCCACACTGGGCATGCATACTCAGCAGCAGAGTAGCATAGCGCAAGGGCAGATGTCTTCACTGTGTCTGGTTGTGATCCCCAGGTTGTGCCAGTCAGCTTTCGTATGATATTGTTTCTAGCATCCACTTTTTTGCTTGATATTCAGGCAGTGCTTCTTGTAGGTCAGAGCATGGTCCAGAGTGACACCCAGGTATTTGGGTGTGCGGGAATGCTCCAGTGGGATTCCTTCCCAGGTCATCCTCAGAGCTCGGGATGCTTGTCTGTTCTTAAGGTGAAAAGCACATGTCTGTGTTTTAGATGGATTAGGGATCAGCTGGTTTTCCCTGTAATAGGCAGTAAGAGCACCTAGAGCTTCGGAAAGCTTCTGTTCTACCATCTCAAAGCTCCCTGCTTGAGCGGTGATGGCACGATCGTCAGCATAGATGAATCTTTCTGTCCCTTCTGGCAGTGGCTGGTCATTTGGGTAGTTGTTGAACATGGAAGGAGCAAGCATGCTCCCCTAAGGCAGGTCGTTCTTCTGTTTCTGCCATCTGCTTTTCTGGCCCTGGAATTCAATAAAAAAGCTCCTGTTTTGTAGCAGGTTTCCTATGAGGCGGGTGAGGTGGCCGTCCTTTGTGATATTACGCCCGGATGTCTTGCAATCCTGTGAGGAGGCTTCTCTCATGTCCCCCAGGAGGCTTGTAGAAGGTTGCTCTTTCCAACAGCATTTTCTCTCTTGAGTGCTAAAGCCTTTTTTTTCTTTTATAGGGGCTGATGGGGAAGAGAGTGAGAAGGGAGAAGTGAAAAGGGAGAGTGAAAACTCTCAACACGAACACATGGAAGAGTGTGAAACAAAACATGACATAAAGAAGGAGAGGAGGAGCCCATCCCCTGTTTTGCCAACGGACAATATGCGCGAATCGTCCTTCCAAGAAGTAACACAGAAAGGGAACGAGAGGAGTGTCTGCGGGATCGGCTTCGGTTCCAGAACGAGCCTCAGTCTTCACCAGAGGACTCACGCTGGCGAGAAACCTTTCCCGAGTGAGGGGTACAAAAACGCTACTTATGAAGTAACTCACTCGAACGAGAAGCCCTTGAAGTGCTTGCATTGTGGGAAGTGCTACAAGTGGGAGTCGTACTTGAGGAAGCACACGAAGACCCACACGGGGGAGAAGCCCTTCAAGTGCCCGAAATGCGGGAAGGGGTTCTGCAAGAAGACTGTACTCAAGCGGCACTTGGACACCCACACGGGGGAGAAGCCCTACCGGTGCGTGGCTTGCGGGAAGAGGTTCAAGCAGAAGAGGGGCCTCCTTTGCCACCAGTTGACCCACACCGGGGAGGATCTCTCGATCTGTTTCCAGTGTTGAAAAAAGGCTCCGACAGGGGCGGCTCAACCATTACGCAAAGTAAGCATTTGCGGTAGAGTTGATTTTGCCAAGGGCGCTCTTGGGGGAAAATAGACCTTGACATATGCGAGTTGTAGTTACTGGGATGTATAGTTCTCCTACAATCAAAGAGCATTCTGAACTCCACCAATGATGGAATTGAACCAAATATGGCACGCAGAATTCCCACGACCAAACTTGGCACGGATATTCAATATGCCCAAATGTGAACACTGGTGGAGTTTGGGGAAAATAGACCTTGACATTTGGGAATTGTAGTTGCTGGGATGTATAGTTCTCCTACAATCAAAGAGCATTCTGAACTCCACCAATGATGGAATTGAACCAAATATGGCACCAGAACTCCCACGACGAAACTCTACATGAATATTCAATATGCCCAAATGTGAACACTGGTGGAGTTTGGGGAAAATAGAACCTTGACATTTGGGAATTTTAGTTGCTGGGATTTATAGTTTACCTACAGTCAAAGAGCATTCTGAACCCCACCAATGATAGAATTGAACCAAACTTGGCACTCCGGACCAAACTTGGCACGAATACTCAAGATGCCCAAATTGAACACTGTGGAGTTTGGGGAAATAGACCTTGACATTTGGGAAGTTGTAGTTACTGGGATGTATAGTTCACCTACAATCAAGAGCATTCTGAACTCCACCAATGAGAATTGAACCACATATGGCACACAGAACTCCACGACGAACATGATTGGTTGGGGGGGGGGGCGACAAAATACGGTTTGCTTACCGTCGAAAATTACCTGGGGCGCTAGAATCATAGAATCATAGAGTTGGAAGAGACCTCAGGGACATCCAGTCCAACCCCCTGCCAAGAAACAGGAATATTGCATCCAAAGCACCCCTGACAGATGGCCATCCAGCCTCTGTTTAAAAGCTTCCAAAGAAGAACACTCCAGGGCAGAGAGTTCCACTGCTGAACGGCTCTCACAGTCAGGAAGTTCTTCCTCATGTTCAGATGGAATCTCCTCCTCTGCTCCCCAACGCATGTGGGAGGAGACGTTCCGGTAGTTAGGTTGTGGAAAGAGTTTCAGGAATAGGACAGGCCTCACTTCTCATTCAAACAAACAAACAAACAAGCGGAGATGTTCAGAGCACTTCAAAAAAAATTCAACAAGATTATTTGAAGGAAGTATGGGAAACAGACTTGGGGGGGGGGAAATGAATAATCAAGAATATGAGAATACTAAAAAATATGTCTATAAGAATTGAGGAAAATTACTACAAAATGATATGGAGGTGGTATTTAACTCCCATTAGATTAAATCAGATTGATAAAAAAAATACTCAAATTAGTGCTGGAGAGGTTGTCAGGAAATAGGGACATACCTTCATATGTGGTGGTCATGTAATCTATATAAATGTAATGTTCGTTTGTGGGATTAATAGAACTCAAAAACCTTTGACTTTTGGAAATATGGGGAAAATATATTGAGGATGTTCTTAGATTGCAGGTGAACTATTCATCCCAGGACCTACAACCATGCTGAATTCTCCCCAAACCTGTCGAGTAGTATGTTTAGTTGCTGATCAATTCATCTGTTTTGTGTGTGCCACAGAAAAGAATAGGAAAAGGTTAAGGGAGAAGCAGTGGGTGGGGGTTATGCAAATTCCACACCAATGGAGAGAGTCAGGAACACTGGGAGGCCTGTGGTGGAGGAAACACACAATCTAGGATGGAATTGTTCCCATATGGAAGCATTCCTTGAGTGGTGGGCAGTGCGGTGCTTGTGGAGGACATTAGCAGAGCTCTTGGACATGATAATGGTACCAATGGAGAGTAAGGAAAACTGGGATGCCTATGGTGGAGGAAACACATACAACCTAGGATGGAATTGTCCCCGTATGAAAGCCTTTCCCTGGGTGGTGGGCAGTGCGGTGCTTGTGGAGGACATTAGCAGAGCTCTTGGACATGATAATGGTACCAGTGGAGAGTAAGGAACACTGGGGTGCCTATGGTGGAGGAAACACATACAATCTAGGATGGAATTGTTCCCATATGGAAGCATTCCTTGAGTGGTGGGCAGTGCGGTGCTTGTGGAGGACATTAGCAGAGCTCTTGGACATGATAATGGTACCAATGGAGAGTAAGGAAAACTGGGATGCCTATGGTGGAGGAAACACATACAACCTAGGATGGAATTGTCCCCGTATGAAAGCCTTTCCCTGGGTGGTGGGCAGTGCGGTGCTTGTGGAGGACATTAGCAGAGCTCTTGGACATGATAATGGTACCAGTGGAGAGTAAGGAACACTGGGGTGCCTATGGTGGAGGAAACACATACAATCTAGGATGGAATTGTTCCCATATGGAAGCATTCCTTGAGTGGTGGGCAGTGCGGTGCTTGTGGAGGACATTAGCAGAGCTCTTGGACATGATAATGGTACCAATGGAGAGTAAGGAACACTGGGGTGCCTATGGTGGAGGAAACACATACAATCTAGGAGGGAATTGTCCCTGTATGAAAGCCTTTCCCTGGGTGGTGGGCAGTGTGGTGTTGGTGGAGGACATTAGCAGAGCTCTTGGACATGTTCATGGTGCCAATGGAGAGAGCAAGGAACACTGGGGTGCCTGTGGTGGAGGAAACACACACGCTTAATGAGGGAAAGGGGTATAAGCCAGCAAGAGAAACAATGATATTTTGGAATGGTGAAACAACATGAGTTGGTTGGTCCTGGTGAAGGGGGCACAAACTAAGGGTAAGGGGAAGAGGGGGAAAATGGTATAATAATAATTATAAAGAAATACAATATGTATAAGTGGATAAAAGGTGTGTGACAGAGTTATATGTAGCGCAAGTTGTAATGGAAATTTAAAAATAATGATAAGAAATATGATTAAAAATGTTTTTGATGTTTATTTGCTGTCAGATTGTATATAATATGACCTACTCTTTTGTCTAAGATACTGTAAAAAGAGAGAAGAATGTATGCTTATACATTTTGTTGGACAAATTTATAAATAAAACACAACCAAGTCTGAGTCCGCAAATCCAAATCGTAGTCCAGAGTTCCAGTCCAAGGTCTCTTGATTGAGAATTCTCACGAGTCATTACAGTCGTTGCTCAGCTAGCTACCCGAATGCTTGGTCCCAAAGCCAAGACTTGAGTTTCTTCCCGAAGGAGAAGGAGTCGGGCCTGATTTCACCGGGGAGTGAATTTCACAGGGGGCCACCACCGAATAGGTCCTGTCTCTCGTCCCTGCCAATCGCGCTTGCGAGGGTGGTGGGATCAAGAGCAGGGCTTCCCCCAAAGATTGTAAACTCCAGATGATCGTAAACTTTAGATTTGATTTGGTTATTTGGCGTGACGATTCAGAAAATTACACTAGCTAGATCACATCAGCTCTAGTTTCTGATACAGAACATTGCACTGGATAGACCACATCAGCTCTAGTTTCTGATACAGAACATTGCATTGGGATAGACCACATCAGCTCTAGTCTCTGATACAGATTATAAAGATTATTATATAGATTATTATTCATATATTTATTTTTTTATTTTAATTTAATTTTTATTATTATTCCCTCCCCCACCACCATGGCATGAAGTTCCAGGTACTACTTACATAGTGTTGACTTGGGAAAAACCTCTTCTCAAAGCCCCGAAGCTCTAGTTTCTGATACAGAACATTGCACTGGGTAGACCACGTCAGCTCTAGTTTCTGATACAGAACATTGCATTGGATAGACCACATCAGCTCTAGTCTCTGATACAGAACATTGCACTGGATAGACCACATCAGCTCTAGTTTCTGATACAGAACATTGCATTGTATAGACCACATCAGCTCTAGTTTCTGATACAGAACATTGCACTGGAAAGACCACGTCAGCTCTAGTTTCTGATACAGAACATTGCACTGGAAAGACCACGTCAGCTCTAGTTTCTGATACAGAACATTGTACTGGATAGACCACATCAGCTCTAGTTTCTGATACAGAACATTGCATTGGATAGACCACATCAGCTCAAGTCTCTAATACAGAACATTGCATTGGATAGACCACATCAGTTCTAGTCTCTGATACAGAACATTGCATTGGACAGACCACATCAGCTCTAGTTTCTGATACAGAACATTGCATTGGACAGACCACATCAACTCTAGTTTCTGATACAGAACATATGTCATTCAGTAGTCGCCATCTGGTTACTCACAGAAAACCATATTTAATCATCTAAAGTTGATGTGGTTATAGCAATCTTTCATGGGTAGTCATTTTTTCCCCTCCTGACATCCCTGTTGCCTCGGCAATATAAGAGGATTTCGCGAGACTAGTCACTCTCACTGCTGTGTGGTTTCAAGGCAACGGTGTAGTAATGGTGAGGCCATGGCCATACCATATTTTTGTTTTAATTATATTTGTAACTTTTGTATTTGGTGTGTAATTTTTAGCTATGTCTCTTTTTGCCGTTTGTAAGCTGCCTTGAGTCCTAAACAAGGAACAAAGTGGGGGTAGATACATAATAATAAACATATTAAGAATGGTATCATATGGATACAAATAGCTACTGGCTGTTAGGAATTGTGGGAGTTGAAGTCCAAAACACCTGGAGGGCTGAAGTTTGCCCAAGCCTGAGCTAGATGTTCTGATAATAATAACACCAGATATGTCCTTGCACGTTCCCTTAGTACAGTGTTTCTCAACCTTCCTAATGCTGCAACCCCTTAATACAGTTCATTATTATTATTATTATTATTATTATTATTATTTATTCCCCCTCTCCCTTTTTTCCCTTTTCCCCCAATTTATCAATTATGTCATGAATGACTTTTCAATGACTTTGAAGCACAGGTTCTTTTTATTGCAATTTCCAGTGTGAGGAGGTATATCAGATTTCAGAAAACATTTAGACAAAGAATGACATTGGACATACAGACATACAGATTCTATGCAACTACAATGGATTTACAATTACATTGGTTAACAAACAAACAAAGGGGAAATACATTTTCACTCAACATTCACACCACATGTACACACATTCATCCACGTGCATTCAAATATTACCATATCATTTTCTCCCTCCTTGGAGAAACACCTGTTAGGCCAGACCCTGATTTCCTGCAGCCTGCCATGCCATAACTTCAAAATGCCGAAATGCCAAAACTTCTTTCCCTAAGAACAATGCCAAGGACCAGATCTCTGTTTTCCATACAGCAGAACCTGACTCCCTGCACAAATCTAAGACTCCAAAAGAGCACTTCTTCCTCTTCCCTTGAGAAAGAAGCCCCAAAGTGACCAGACTGCTCCCGTGCAAATCCACCACTCTCCGTAAGTACACCATCTCTCTCCTTCCCATGGAGCAGAGCATGCGGGTGAACCAGACTCCTCAGGTCTGCCACACTTTGTGCATTATTAGACTGAGTCTTTTATAGGAATATTCTGCTGATGTAGTCCCAAAGTTGTAAATTAATGATAGACGTCTTCCATCCTGGCTCCATCTCAGTTTCCTGGCCAGATGTTGATCTTCTTGGTGTTGATCTTATGTTGACTTCCTTCTTAACATAAGGAATGCTGCAAACATTTCTGTTTTCACTGTCCCAGTTCTTATCACAGCTTCTCATTAGCAAGTCCAGCAAGCAGGTAGTTAGTCATTGCAGTCCTTAATATTATACTGGTGTCTCCAAAATTATTAACTCCATTCATACATTCTTCCATTCATTCCCACACATCATATAAAATTCATATTTGTCAAATCTGCACATTGAAATTCTTTTGACAAATACATATAATAAATTAAAAATCCACAAGCAGTTCCTTGGCAAAGAAAGAAGGGTTTGATGCTTCTTTGAGGTCCTTCCAAGATGGACAAGTCTCATGCCTTTCACCCATCTAGTCAAAGAAGGGGAACAATTCCTTTCTTCATAAGAGTTGAAGTACAGTACTTCCATTGCTCAATGAATAAGTGTACTCAGGGTTTGAGGGCTGACTTTGAAACGGAAATTGTGTATTTAGGGTATCTTTCTTTACTCCAAAACTACATATGGTGTCTGGAAGCAACATTACATATGGTGTCTGGAAGCCGGTTTGTTGCGTCATGTGGGTTCTTTGGTGGGACAAAAGGTCTGCTTTCTGGCAAAAGATATTTCCGCACAACAGGCATTTATGCGGATTTTCTCCTGTGTAGGTTCTACTATGCCTAGTAAGGTATTCCTTCGCATGGAAGCTCTTCCCACACTCGAAGCATTTGTACGGTTTTTCTCCCGTGTGAGTTCTTTTGTGCACGTTGAATTTCCCTTTCTGGCAGAAGCTCTTCCCACACTCCACACATTTGAATGGTCTCTCTCCCGTGTGGATTCTCGTATGCGCATCAAGGTTTCCTCTCCCACTGAAGCTCTTCCCACACTCCATGCATTTATGTATTTTTTTTCTTGTGTGGGTTCTTCTGTGCACTTTAAGGTTTGCACTCTCAGCGAAGGTCTTTCCACAATCCAGACACGTATACGGTTCCTCTCCTGTGTGGATTATTTGATGCCTATCCAGGCGCACTCTCTCACTGAAGCTTTCCCCACACTCAGGGCACATATGTGGCTTTTCCTCCGTGTGGGTCAATTCATGACTTGTATAGGCGCTCTTACCACACTCCGAACCTAGGCCTGATTGCTTCTCCGCGTGGGTTTTTCCATGTGTGTTAAGGAGACCGACAGAACGGAAGTGCTTTCCGCATTCAAAACATTTGTAAAATTTCTCACATCCGTGATGTATTTCATGTCGAATAAGCTCTGTACTCCCGGGAAAACTCTTTCCACACTCACAGCACTTGTACGGGTTCTCCCCCGGATGCGTTCCTTGATGTGACAGGAGTTCATCTTTCAGGCGGAAACTCTGGCCACACTCCCGGCATTTGTATGGTTGCTCCCCTTTCTGGCTATTTTTGTGTGAAACCACACAACTGTGGGAATTGAACTGCTTTCCACACCCTAAACACTGATATAGCTTCTCTACTGTGAAAATTATTTGAGATTCCTGCGCATTCATGCAGTAGGTCTTTTCACACTCAGCACATCCCTGCGCTTTCTCTTCATCTGACTGGGAAAGGATTGATGGCGAAAGCTCATTTTTCTCTGCTTGTTCTCTCATCCCTGCACCTTTCGTCTCCTCTGTGTTCCCCTCCTCGTGTCGATGCTGAGTGTTGTCAAATTGTGCATCAGGCGTTTTCTCCTCCTTCTCACTCTCCCTCCCATCTTTGCCTGGAACAGAAAGAAAAACCAATATTTCAACAGTGAAATGTTACATCAGTCCCTCTGGCTTCAGCCCCCTTCCTGAACCTTGCAGAATTACTGCTGTTCGATACCACTTGTCAGAAATATTAAAAATTAACTAGGTATTTTTAATTACAAAAATGTGAGCCAAGCACTGAAAGGGTTAAATGGATGCAATGACTCAGCAAAAGCTGCAGTGTATGTATGTATGTATGTATGTATATATATGTGTGTGTGTGTATATATATATAAATAAATAAAAATGCTCTGTGCATAATGAGTACCTTAAAAACAAAAGAACCAATGAAGGAAATCACACCAAATTTGGCAACAAAACGTCTCACAACACAAGGAGTGACCATCACTCAAAAATTATGATTTTGTCATTTGGGAGTTGTAGTTGCTGGGATTTATAGTTCACCTACAATCAAAGAGCATTCTGAACTCCACCAACGATGGAATTGAACCAAACTTGGCACACAGAACTCCCTTGACCAACAGAAAATATCCTGGAAGGGTTTGGTGGGCATTGATCTTGAGTTTTGGAGTTGTAGTTCACCTACATCCAGAGAGCACTGTGGACTCAAACAATGATGGATCTGGACCAAACTTGGCACAAGCACTCAATATGCCCAAATATGAACACAGATGGAGTTTGGGGAAAATAGACCTTGACTTTTGGGAGTTGTAGTCACTGGGATTCACAGTTCACCTACAATCAAAGAGCATTCTGAACCCCACGAATAGAATTGGGGCAAACTTCCCACACAGAACCCCCATGACCAACAGAAAATACTTAAGGCCATCCAGTCCCACTCCCTTCACCAGAGCAAGAAAACGTAATCAAAGCCCTCCTTACAGAGAGCCATCTAGCCATAGATATAGATAGATAGATATGATTCAAACACAGAGAGATAAAGTATTATAGATTTGAAAGGGACCCTTAAAGAAGGACAATTATATGTTGCATGTTCCAGAGTAGGCAAACCAGACAATCTCCACATCAACACTGACAAAGAAACAGCAAGAAATACTGTTTCCCCACAAGCATTTCGAACTATAGAATCATAGAATCAAAGAGTTGGAAGAGACCTCGTGGGCCATCCAGTCCAACCCCATTCTGCCAAGAAGCAGGAATATTGCATTCAAATCACCCCTGACAGATGGCCATCCAGCCTCTGTTTAAAAGCTTCCAAAGAAGGAGCCTCCACCACACTCCGGGGCAGAGAGTTCCACTGCTGAACGGCTCTCACAGTCAGAAGTTCTTCCTCGTGTTCAGATGGAATCTCCTCTCTTGTAGTTTGAAGCCATTGTTCTGCGTCCTAGTCTCCAAGGAAGCAGAAAACAAGCTTGCTCCCTCCTCCCTGTGGCTTCCTCTCACATATTTATACATGGCTATCATATCTCCTCTCAGCCTTCTCTTCTTCAGGCTAAACATGCCCAGCTCCTTAAGCCGCTCCTCATAGGGCTTGTTCTCCAGACCCTTGATCATTTTAGTCACCCTCCTCTGGACACATTCCAGCTTGTCGATATCTCTCTTGAATTGTGGTGCCCAGAATTGGACACAATATTCCAGGTGTGGTCTAACCAAAGCAGAATAGAGGGGGAGTATGACTTCCCTAGATCTAGACACTATGCTCCTATTGATGCAGGCCAAAATCCCATTGACTTTTTTTGCCACCACTTCACATTGTTGGCTCGTGTTTAACTTGTTGTCCACGAGGACTTCAATATCTTTTTCACACGTACTGCTCTCGAGCCAGGCATTACTTTATTTTCCAGATCAACAGACTGGGCCACAGCAACGCGTGGCAGGGGACAGCTAGTTCATTATAAGCAGGAGTGTCTGTAGGTTAGTAGCCTCAGTCTGTGAGAGGTCTCTGTGGAAGACGGGCCTCAGTGTGTCTGCATGAGAAGGCTTCAGTGTTAGGACTCAGCTGTGGTGCAGTTAGCTGAGAGCTAGCTGCATTAATGTGGTCCTCATATTGCACTTTATAACAAAGGACGTGAGGCTGGAGGCTTATTAATATTATGCCTGGGCAGGATGGATCTTCCCAGAGGTTTTCCTTTCCTAAAAAAAAAAAAAAAAGTCCAACCCCTGTGCCTCCAATATGATAGCGAGACGATGATGGATATGTGTTATGTTGAAGTGAACACTGCTCATCTTTAAACTTTCTTTTGAATTAAAGCTGCCACCAACCTAAGGCGTTTCAGGATTATTATTATTTTTAAAGTGAAAAAATATTTGAGGTGAACTTTTCTCACTCCTGACAACACTGCTTTTATCCCAGGCTCCCAAAGAACTGTTTGTTGAGAGGCTTTTCTGTAGCAACAGGGTGTTAAAAATGCTGGAAATATCACAAAGGCTTGACAATGGAATGATGTACAGTAGAGACTGGGTTGAAACTCAAATAGAATAAGATTTTTAAAAAACAGACAACTAACCACTCCTGAGAGGTACAAAAAGCATGACTTCAGCTTGATTGGTTGCTTGAACAGTTCTCTTCACTTTGTTCCAGACAGAGCTAACTGTTGGTAACAAAACCCTCGCTCTTTTTCAGAGAATAGATGGACCAAAACTAACAAAATGAAGTTCAACAGTGACAAATGAAAGATACTCCACTTAGGCAGAAAAAACGAAATGCAAAGATACAGAATGGGGGACAATGCCTGGCTCGAGAGCAGTACATGTGAAGAAGATCTTGGAGTCCTCGTGGACAACAAGTTAAACATGAGCCAACAGTGTGATTTGGTGGCAAAAAAGCCAATGGGATTTTATCCTGCATCAATAGGAGCATAGTGTCTAGATCTAGGGAAGTAATGCTACCCCTCTATTCTGCTTTGGTTAGACCACACCTGGAATATTGTGTCCAATTCTGGGCACCACAATTCAAGAGAGATATTGACAAGCTGGAATGTGTCCAGAGGAGAGTGACTAAAATGATCAAGGTCTGGAGAACAAGCCCTATGAGGAGCGGCTTAAGGAGCTGGGCATGTTTAGCCTGAAGAAGAGAAGGCTGAGAGGAGATATGATAGCCATGTGTAAATATGTGAGAGGAAGCCACGGGGAGGAGGGACCAAGCTTGTTTTCTGCTTCCCTGGAGACTAGGACGCGGAACAATGGCTTCAAACTACAAGAAAGGAGATTCCACCTGAACATGAGGAAGAACTTCCTGACTGTGAGAGCCATTCAGCAGTGGAACTCTCTACCCCGGAGTGTGGTGAAGGCTCCTTCTTTGGAAGCTTTTAAACAGAGGCTGGATGGCCATCTGTCAGGGGTGATTTGAATGTATTTTCCTGCTTCTTGGCAGAATGGGGTTGGACTGGATGGCTCATGAGGTCTCTTCCAACTCTTTGAATCTATGATTAGTCTGACTAGCCTATGTAGGTAGCCTCTGGGTTATTAACTAACTCTACCCTAGAGTTCTTCCTGTTAACTAACCCAGCCTGGAGAGCCAACCTCTTGTGCTAACTCTCACAAGAGATCAGACTGCTGTCTGACCTTTTTCCTGTCAGCTCACAGCACTGTCTAACACAGATACTCTCTCTCCTAGTTCTCTCCCGGAATACCCAGTTTCAAACTCTACACCTTCACACCCCTCTCAACTCCTACTGAAGCTACATTATTTCCCTCCTCAGACTTGGCTCCTCCCAACTGCTCTGGCCAATCCTAGGAGTCTCTAAACTCCTCCCCTCTTCCAACCATCCTCACTCAAGATGGCTGCCTCCCTGGCATTCCCTCCTAAAATGGAGGCCTGCCTTACTGTTATCCAGGCTCCCTTTCCGGCCTACCAGGTAAGATTCACCATACACTTCCCCCCACCTTATTGAAGGCCTGACTCCACTGTTCAGTCCCCTACGAGCTCCTCCCTTACAAATACACCTTTTTCATTGTTATCTCATCCAGAGTTTTATCATTTTATGTCGTACATTTGGCTCGCCCACTGTGTTTTATTTCTCACTTTGTTATTTTGCACTGTTTTATTTTACCTATATGTTTTATTTATTTTATTGTGATGTTATTTTTGCTCTTCTGTATTTATTTTGCTGTTTGGTATCACCAGGCTTGGCCTCATGTAAGCCGCTCCGAGTCCCCTCTGGGGAGATGGTGAAGGGGTATAACCTGTAGAACCAGAGATGACACGGACACATGGATGGAGTAAAAATTGGCCACAATTTAATTTATTGATTATAGGAACAAAGGGTTGGCTGCCAGGCATGGGTTCTGGATCAAGATCGATCAGCCCGCTGCTGATCGATACCTAATGAGTCTAACAAGGGGCCCACCGGCACAATACTGGGCAACAAAACACGGCACCCCTGGGAACCACTGGATGTTCCCTCCCCGGCCAGTATAAGGCTGCTGAGCGAAGGAAGCGGCTGGCCCCTGGCCAATGCCAGGTGCTGGGTCGGGCCAGTTGCTGACTGGACAGCTGACCATGTGGCGGGAAACTTCCCGCTGCACAGGGGGCTTCTGGGAAGAAGCCCCCTGCTACCAACATGGCTGGTGGGAGGGTGCCCCCCGCTGCAACAGTCCTTGCCCAGTAAGTTTGGCAATGAATTTGAGTGTGGATGGGCGACACTCCTCCTGCCCGTAGAACCAGATAACACGGACACATGGATGGAGATTGGCCACAACTTAATGCTGGCATAACACAACAAACAAATCAAATCATAAACAATAAAATAAACAACATCAGGTGTACTTATAGAACAACTCAAAAATAACAAACTTAGACATCTATATCTATATATATAATAAAGAAGAGTGTTTGTATCGGACAGAATTGTGGAGGGAGGGCGGTGTATGTGGCAGCGTTCTGATTGGCTGCCGCTGTGGTGCTATTTGCATATGGTCTCTGATTGGCCAGCTTCAATAGGAGCCCCTGGTGGAGAAGAGGGTTCATGGCAGAAACGGGGCATGACAGAAGGAAATTTGCATATGGTCTCTGATTGGCCAGCCTCAAATCCAACATTCCGAGATGACA